GGAAGATTGCTCGCTCAGCGCCCATTATTCAATTAGAGTACCCAATTACGATTATACGCGACACGGAAAGTCGAGGCGCTCTTCGTAGAGGTGCTAACGAGAACCCCTGCAATGTACCGAAGCTAGTCTGGACGATCTCTGCGGCAGAGAAGACGGGTTCCAATGGTTCCCAGCCAGCTCCGAACGACCCTTCGTGGAGGGACACCCCAGAGATCTCACGGCAAGCTGAACAAGCCCCCGAGACATCCAAAAAGCCGCGTTTCAGCTCCAGTCATTACTACTGGATTCTCCTTACTGGACTCGAGGATGGAATACAAATTATGCGTCGCTTTATTGCCTGCCCGCGAGCCATCTCCGGGCGCAAGCGACTCTGGCGTGACGTCTGCGGGGGTTTTTCCGAGTGCCTTCCTCTCCCTTCGTGGTGCACTACTTTGTTCCGCTTTGAGTGTGGATTCCCTGCCTCCGTCATCTCAGCCGGGCAGGGCTTCAGATGCTCGGGTTCGGACGTGATTGTGAGGAATTTACGGAGCGAAAACGGTTGGCCCTCTGCCAGATTCGAAACAGCAAACTTTCGCACGGAGCTTCGTGAACATCAGCGTGATTAATGCAATCATTCGTGAATGAGTGAGGATCGCAATAATCGATAGTAGTACTCGCTCATCTGTCGGTAGCTCTAAGGACTCGCAGAGATGGACGATTGCGGAAGGTCAACTTAGTGACCTTCCAATACAACTCGGATGAGGAGATCCGACAAAATGGATCGCTAACGCTGAGCCTCAAACTCCAATGACGTTTAAGTCGCGATCTTTCACTGAACAATCGGATTCTTGAGATTCTTCCGTACATTCCAACGCACAATACGGCGTATCCAAAAAGGGTCCCTCGGGTGGGAGCTTCGTGGACTCTAGCAGAAATAGTTCGAAGAAACCCCCCGGGGGTCGCGATCGGGAAAGCCATATCGAATGTGTACATACACTTGTTCGCTCCAATACAAGGAAATATATGGATCCTTCGGGGGATCTCGGCAGAAGTCTCGTTCCCGGCTCACTCCAAATGGGGTTTTCGCAGAAGTGAATCGAATGGATGAATCAGTCAGAGAAAGGTCACGAATTCCTCAATGAAAGGACTCGGGGAAAGTTCAGAAAAGCCTGATTGAAATTATTCGCAGGATCCTGCGATCAAAAAATATATGTATTTCATCTTTTTCTTGAAGCCACGAATTGTGATCGCCGGATCGGTCGCGCGGGACTTTCTTTAGCATTCATTTCGGATAAACAGACGATCTCAACTTTTTTTCTCTGCGAAATGAGGAGGAACGGAACGACCTTCCTTTTTTGTGCTCATTTTACGTTTGCTGTCCGCGAAGACGACTGCATCGAATCGTCAAAAGTAGTCTCTGCCAGACATTCCGAATGGGAATCGTAAATTTTGACCGCGGATAAAAAAAAGCATTCAGGTAGCACGGGGTCTTGGAGACGCTGACTATTCGCACAATATTTCGGAAAAAAATCAGATTATTCATGGCGATCATAACTTTGCGTTTGTCTCCTTAGACGATCTACGCTGTCTTACGCATCGTCTGCTCATCAGGCTAGAAGTCATATTGGTTCCTACCTGGGCGTGTCACACCCCCGTGTCGACTAAAGGAAGCTATTGTTCATCTGGCAGCGACACGCAACAGCATATGTGTCAGAGCCTACCGAAACTCTCAAGCTTCATTAATGGCGTTTATCATCATCTTCCGCATTACCGAAATCGATAGGAAAGAACATGAGCAATCGCAACGAGCTGGGCTCGTTTTACGAGGGCACTCGGACGCTCCAATAGGCGAGTGATTCCTGATATTGATGGATTGATGGCCCATTCAGATGCCTAATCTCGATGCAAAGGAAGTCGTGAAGCTTTGAGCGATTTTCCGAACTCGATCGTAATCACTAGATTCAAGTGTCTCAAATACACACCTCGTGGAGAGCGTGGCTGGGGTGAGTCTCCCCTCGAGTGGAACTCAATGGGCAATCGATCTTGCGGGCTCGATAGAGGCTCAATTTTTTGACGGGAAATTTCGGAAACCCTGCGGATGAGCTGACAGTCTTCTCGAAACAAACGGTGGGAGATACTGGTCTCATGAGCAACAATAGAGCTTCGAGCGCCGACGTGCGCGTTTCGCAAATCGTAATTGGCTGACATCAGAAACCTCAGTTAAATAATTTCTTGAAAGACAGCGCATTGTCTGTGAACTTCTTCTATTCGTAGCGTCTCGAAAACGCGATGCATTCGCAAGGAGTCTTTATCTGACAAGCTTTAGAACTTTTCTCTCTTTTAGTTGTGGAGTCGGCAGGGAAGAAAAGCTCACAGAAGCGACATTCACTTAATCTGGTGGACAGGGGCTAATTATGCAATCGAGGAAACGGAAGCCCAGTCATGCTTTCATCCGGAGTGAATTCCACAGCCTACGTCGGATTCAAATGGACCCCCTCTCGGCCATAGCGAAGCTGCCCTGGGTGACGCTAATTCCTTCTTAGAGTAAGGGCTCCCTCGCACTTGTGTAGTTCCCCGAAATGGGACAAATCGCGGAAGGCAGCACTGGACGATCGCAGTGGTATTCTGCTCCCGGATCGGATAGCGAGTCCTTCCGTCCAAGGAAGCTTATCAAGGGAAGTCGCTGTGTCAAATAAGATCGGCTGAAGAATAATAAATTCTGATGTTAATGGCTTCTGCTCACTTGTTTTCCGCCCGACTGTACGAGCGAGGGATTTTGGCTTCCGGCGACTTTGTTTTGGCCGATCCGTTGTGGAGATGGATTTCGTGATCCGTATCTTTTTCTGTGTTTCGCTCCCCAGATGGTTAACAAGCTGGAAAAGAACTGAGGAATTTTCCAAGGTTATTCGCTTCCTGTGATGGCGTAGCGAAACCTCTTGGAAGACGCTCGGTCGGGCTGTGATGGCGAATGTTGAGTCTTGAAGGAGGCTCCATTGTATGAAAATACTTTCGCTCTATCGATACTTGGGATCTTCTCACCTGAGCCAATGCTGCCACCCAGAATCGCTCCTCGGGTAGCCCTCAGGTGTTCGCAAAGAATTTTCTCGGCGATATGGCGCCACGGATTTTTTTTCGGGAGGATCCATGGCTGCACGGGCAACGTTGTGTGCACGGACCCCGAAGATGTGCAAACGAAATGAGCTAAATCGTGTACAAAAGTCGAATGAGGCGCTCTACTTCACGGAACAAACAACCACGACGGGGTGTCGTGCGTTTTACTTTATGGGAAGCCCGGGCTGAATCATCTCCCGCCTAGCAGAGCGCATGCGAGTCCTCTCAAACGCTGCTGTGTGTGAGTGAATAATCACTCGCAAAATTATCACACCACGAGGAGTGCTACCGAACTGGCGTCCGAATCGAGAGAAGCCCGATCGAAGGTGAGGAGCATCACGATAAGCTTGGCCGTTTGGCGAGCAGGCAGTCAGACGCTCATCCTTCGGCTCCTAGTCCGAATCGATGAGGAAATGGATCAATCAACCAATCAATAAACGGTCACGTCGCTGAGGATTAAGTGACTGAGGGAGATTTTTCTCACGCCGACCAGGAACTCTGCTTGATAGTACAGCCCAATACGGGGCATCCTCAATCAATCGACAGCAACAATCACGATAAGCCGACTTTCCTTCGCTAACGTCAGCTGTAACCTTGCGAATTTCCCGCTCATGGGGTTTTCTCACCTTTCTTGGATAAGAAAAATCTTCCCTCATTGTCGACCGGAGTGATAGCGTCCACTTCTTTCCTAGATCTGAGGGAAAAATCAGAATCCTTCCATTGTGAGAGAAAAACCGAGAGTTGGCCATCTCTATGCGGACCGCTCCTTTGCTTGGAAAACAGCGATCGGAGCAGAAATGTCGGAGCTAGGTATTTGGCTTCGTATTCGAATGTCCACATGAAGATCCTCATGAAGACTAAAGCTAATCGTATAGATCTGTGTCACGGTGGAAGGCCCACCGAAACAATGATATATCTCCGTGACATAGAACATTGGACTGGGGACTGAAATCTGTTTCTGTCACGAAATCCCCGGATTTCTCGTATACGTAGGCGCCGACGCGACGAGTTCCAGGAAGCGAACACATTCACTAACGCGCAGACTTTATGATGTGTGAAACGTACACTACAAATCAGAAGCTGAGTCGCTGTTTTCGTTCGGGGAGAACATCCAGTTAGCTACTCGAAGCGACGATCCAAGCCAGGAAGCTGCAAAGTAGACCCATACGCATGTACAGCGCTTGCCGTCACAGTAGGCTGATCGGTGATCACTATAAGACGATGGTGTTTTGGCATTGCAGCGCTAAGCTTGGGCAATAATAACAGCGCGTTTAACATTAAGAGCAGTGGTGTCGACCACTTTGACAACGAGTAAACAAAAAAAAACAATGTGGAATTAACATGCAACATGGTTTGCTTATTATCGGCCGCATCGGGTTTCGGTAAGGATCGCAAAAAGTGTTCCAAACAAGGCCGGCTGATGAAACGTTAAGGAATTCCGATTCGCCAGAATAACTATTAGCCCTCTCAACTCACAGCTGCCTGGTTGGGAAATGCTAGACGAGTTTCCCCTGGAACAGTCCCACTGTGCGGAGAAATTGACGTAGATGAGCGATCGATTTTGATCAGCCTCCATCCGGGTCCACGGAGGCGATCCAACAAGAGTGGAAAAATCCTTCGGTATTCCCCCCGATGAGCGCGTGGGATGCTCCTCGGAGCTGTTCGGAACGTCTGATGAGCATTAGAAATTCGGAGGATTATCGGATTATCATCGTGTAGTCGAAATGAATACCAGAGGGAAATAATTCATCGAGGGATAGATCCCGCTCTCTCAAGAGCGAATGATCCTTAGTCGAAACGAGAAACTTATCTAGACTCCCTCGTCGAAGGTGGCGAATGTAATTCCACTCAGCCTCGTGCCTTACGTTCCGATCGATCTCTCGAAATTATATCCCCTTTTTTCTTTGCAGGATGTCTCCTACTACCAGCTTTGCTCAGCGTGAGCGATGCTCAGATCTCAATGTATGTGCCTCTCAACATGGGGGGACTGAAGGGTCATGTCCGGTTCGAACAGCAGAATCCTTCGATCCGGAACGTGACTATCACTATTCATCTCATGACTTCGGGAGAGGACGCCCGACGTGCGAGATATTCGTGGTTCCTCCACGAGTTTCCGGTGTTCTTTGATCAGAAACAGCCCTGCGCTTTGAGCGAACTTGGCAGAACGTAAGCTTCTTGGGGATCCCACCCATGATAGTGCGGGCAGAGGCCCCGATAGTTTTGTCTCCCGATCTATCTGCCGACACCTCTACCGGATACGAACTGATATGAGCCATTGACGTTCGCATAATTCTTAGGCGTCATGATCTGGGCCGACGTCACGGAATCTTGGAGATCGGGCCTCCAGGAAATATGTCTGAGGTCACCTTCTACGACTCGGAGATCGAGCTCGAAGGACCGAACTCGATCTGGGGTCGGGCCTTGCTGCTGAGAGCCAGCGACTCCACTCAAGGCGATCAGCGCGCCTGTGGAAACGTTCAAGACGACGGGAATATCCGAACCGCGGAGGCAACTTTCCACATCCCTGTCGCGGGTCAGTTCTCGAGACATTCGAACGCATTAATCAAACTTCGAGCGAAATCCAACGCCCTAACAATCTGTCTCTCTGCAGGACAAGTGATCCTCCGTCAATCGGAGCCAGGGATCACAACGATATTCACGAATCTCTTCCACACGGGAGACGACTACATGCCGGCTGGGAGGCGAGTTCAGAAAGGGTCTAGGCTGAGAATGCATGATATAAATCGGCCGTGATTTCCTTGCATCCTAATGGTTGGGTCGATCCCCATTCGCAGATATGACTGGCGCATACTGATATCTGATATTCTGGACGCGGACGCAGCCAAGAGATCGGAGAAACGATGCGATTTTCTCCAGATCGTCTTCGATCCGGACAACAAAGTTCAACAGTTCTCTGAGGAGGCTTGCAATAGCAAAGATCACAGCCGATGTCGCTTAGGAGACATGATCCGCAAGCACGGAGAGATCACAGTGGCGCCCACCAATTCAAGGTACATCCGGAGTTTTGAAATCGTTGCTGTGCAGTCAAAACGATAATTATGTAACTTGGGCGGCGGCATTCCCTTATGGCTCACTCGGAGAAAAGGACGAGGGGATGACCTATTTGCTCGTTGCGCTTCATTTGATTCTTCGAGCTCACGATCGCATTCGGCGTACCTGAAATACTGACATGAAAAGGAGGGAAACGCGTGACCGATCGAGCTCTGACTGATCATCCGCTTGACTTCTCCGGATGGTGGAGCATCGATGGAAGTTGTGTGTCGAGGTGGTGAACGGACAAGACTGTGCTCGCGTGTCAGGGAGGTGCTCGACGAATTTTGGCTCCGGTTTCCTATTGTCGACACAACAATCGAAAATCCGGCTCTGGATTGCTTAGAAATCCCTTCCATCATCTTCGTTGGGCATCTGAGCTCTCCCTCCTCCCGCATGGAACGACCTTTCACGCAGGGTTGGACTTTTCCGACCAGGGCATTGAATCCTGCTGAGAATCGGGTGAAAACGTATCTCGAAACTGCACAGGTCGGTCGAGGCTTCCAAGCTCTCGAGGACATGCTTTGCGCCTAAGGCTTCTGAGGGGTCATCTGCAATGAGGCACAAGAGAGCATACGGCTCTCTTTCTGGTCGTGAACATAGAGAAGACGATCGCTCAAGTGCCTAATTCTTGGAAACCTTGGAATCACCAGGAATTTCTTTTGATCGATTAACGAGACTCGAGCGAGTGAATAATCCCTTTGTCATCCTTTCTGCGTCATTATGATATCTTGTGTCGGCCAGAGAAGTGAATTCCCCGGCGTTGTCATCGATTCGTTGGAAATGGATGAAGGAAATCGGAATATCTCCAGAAAGACGGAAGTCACGACCGTCTGGAAGACGGCTGCGGAAAATCTGCCCAAAATGTCATTATGCAAATTTTATCGTCCGTGAAAGTCTCCCATTGTCTCCCGTCTTATTAGTCACCACCACTGAATGCGATCGCCCAGCTGAATCACCTATCATGAAAGAGTGTGGACTTATTCGTGAACGCCGTACTCCGTCGGGGATATAATCGGTACTACGCGTTTTCATACGAACGAGTTCCGCGAATAGATCAATTAATTCGGCCCATTACAGATATTCGAAGAAGTTCTACGTCGACACGAATTTGGCTCTCAATCATCTCGACGGGTACAGATCATTGTACCTCGCCATATACGAAAAAGCGAATCCGTTTCGAATCATGGCGTGCTCAAAGCTCAATATCGTACCATCGAGAAAAGTCCTGACTTATTTCGATTCGGATGGGGTGAGGGGCACCATTCAGATGGAACAGAGGTACAAAATGGACCCTACAGTGCTGAAAATCCAGCTTCAAGGTAATGAAGACGTTGCTTCGGTTCGTACGCGCGATGATCGTTAGAAATGTCGGATCCTGTGCCCCGTTTTCGGAAAGACGACACAATGAGCCGAGAGATCACTTTCAGGTCTTCGAGGACGTGGTGGTGCTTACCACGTACATGAGTTCCCCGTCAATTCCGCAGCTCTGTCTCTCGGACCGGAGCGTTGTTCGATAGCGAATGTCGGCGACAATTTCAATCCTTTCGCTGTCGATCGGAATAAAAGTCCCCTCCCAGGATTCGGTAAGGATTTTCCATAGTTTATCAGAGTCGTATTGGCATGCCTCGTGAGCTTGATCTGATCTAATTAGTGGAATCTTGATTTCAGGCACCAATGATGAATATCAAGTCGGAGATCTTTCGGGTAAACATGGTTTCCTGATGCAGGGATCCATGGGTGACTCCCATGAAGCCATGTATGTGGATTTCAATCTGCCTCTCTTCGGTTCGAGCAGCGTCATTGGTCGTTCCATAGTCATTCATCAGGTGAGTGCAGCTTAGTTTTCATGCCGAAGAGACGAAGAAGGGGGTAGGGGATGATTTCGATGGAGCATCGTTGGGTGCGGCCTTCCTCTCACCAGGCCCACACCTTATACGCGATTTTATTGCCTTTCTAGGTGGATGGAACGCGCTGGATTTGCTCGTCGATTACGTATCCAACGGAAACCACGACAGCGATCGCAACTTTCTACTACCCTATCGTTGGTCAAGTCGTTTTCCGACAAGAAATCAATAATCCATGGGCAGAGACAACTGTTCTGGCCGAACTGGCATATGCCGACGGAACTCAGAACTCAACCGAAGGACATCGTTTCGATATTCACGTGGATCCTCCGGGGAAAGACTTCTATAACTGGACCAAAAGGTGCGTCATATCCAACCTGACTGTATTTCACGGCTCGCAAGCGATCTGAACTTTGTCAGCAATCGATCATCCTCCCTGAATTTCCAGGTGCGAGAGTGCAGGCGGGGACTACAACCCCTTCGAAGTCGGAGTTCGCAAGCAGCGCGAAAAAGTCTGTCATCCTGGTAATGCATTCCGATGCTCTGTCGGAGACCTGAGCAGTAAGTCGGGTCGGCTCGCAGTCACGGCGAAGAAAGGAACAATCATGAACAAGTTCTTCTACACCGATATCAACCTCCCTCTCAGTGGACCACACAGCATTCTGCATCGGTGAGGGGATTGGTTCTGACGTATCGTATTCTATATGAGCGGAAGGCAGATGGGAGAAAGCTCCTCGGAGGAATCTCCAAAGAGGTTGTGTGGCGGTCTAGTCTCGTGAGCTACGAGTGTTTCCGAAACGGAGGAGGACTCCCCAAAAGCGCGGAAAAGGGTCATCAGGGTTGATACTAATTGACTGTATCGGAATCTCCTCTCAGGTCTCTCGTGGTCCACGACGATCAGGCCCCGCCCCACCGGGGCGATCGATTAGCTTGCACAGTCATATCTCCAACGCATCCCATAATAGCGGCAGTGAGACACTGGTCTTACGGGGCGGGCATTCCGTCGAATGTTTCTGGAACTATTGTCTTCAAACAAGAATCTGAATTCGACCTGAGCGAAGTGCATATAGATCTCGTCGGCTTAGAGAAATACGCATCCGGCTATCATGTGCACGAGCTGCCGGTGCCAATGGAGAAATGTAAGTCCACTGGCCCATTTTACCCTTCTCTAGAGGTAGCGCGGTGCTAGGGTGGAGCTGCTGCTAGGGAGACGAATATACACACATATGTAGACTTGATAGCGGAATCCTGAGAGGGACGCTCAAAATAATGAATAATTCACGTTTCAGCTTTCCCTTGCAACGACGATTCGGTTCGAGGTCACTTCAACCCACACGGACTCGATACGGGCTTCGTTCCTCCTCCTGGAATTGGTTCGGTGGACCAGTACGAAGTAGGCGATCTCTCCGGAAAGTACGGCACCCTCGAGAATAAGAACGTCGAACAGAGTTCTCTTCTCGACAATAACCTCAATCTTTACGGCAAGAACTCGATCATTGGGAGATCAGTTGTCGTTCACCTCAAAGAGAGAAATCAGCGATGGGCGTGTGGAACGATATTGCCCGAGATCCGACGTGAAGATGGAAGAGAATTAGTCGCAATCGCCAACTTCGATAACCCGAAGGGCTTTGTGCAAGGCTTCGTACGGTTGAGACAATTGGAGTATAAGGATGGTTCATCTTCGGAAACCTTCATCGAAGTCGATCTCAGATATCCTGGGAAATACGACCGCAATCTGACTAGAGGGCATGATTGGGCGATCTTCGTCAACCAGGTCGGCCACGATGCCGTGGAACCAAATGAGAACGTGAGGTGCATTGCTGCCGGTTACAGGTGAGGCGATTACCCCCGTGCTTGCCCGTTCCTTTCGGACTCCATCCACAGATGACTATCGAGCTCAAAGTATAGCAATCGCATATATAACAATCCCGTCCCGGATCGCGATACACATGTTTGTCGATTGATGCAGGTGGAATCCTTATTTGGCGATAGCATCCTCGGACAGTTACAAGACCGACTGCACTCCTTCCAATCCTCTGCGCTGTGAGATGGGTGACCTGACTGGCAAACATGGTCATCTCGTCATCGGTCAAAGCGGCAGGGCAACTTTCGTCGACCCGAACTTACCGCTCGTCGGCAACTATTCTGGTAAGCTCAAACGATGGACTCGTTTTCCTCTTCTTCGACCTCCTCATGGACCTCCTCAGTCTTGTCAGGCCTGCACTAAATCTGAGTATTTCGACATTACAGTTCTCGGAAGATCGGTCGTCATATTCGGAAAGGAAGGATCGGCAAACAAACTCGGTTGCGCGAATCTGAAACTGGATATTCATTTGATACGTCACGTTACAGTCAGGAAATTCCCAGGGTTCACGACTGGGCAGTTCATGAACCACATGAGAGAACTTCTCAATGCAACGGACTGGGTGATCCAATCTGACCGTCAAGCCGAGAGAGAAATCCTGTCCGGTCAATGTGTTCAGATGACGGTTCATTTCTTCGGCACAGATGCCCACAGGTGAGTCTTCGTGTAAAACTTTCGACTGTGCGCTCTAGTGACCTAAAATGACACCATTGAATCGTAGATTATCGCTGATCGTTTCGCATCGCTCGACAGGTGGCAGATCGAATTCGGGAACCTCATCGGTCTCGGAAGCGTCAGAAAACAGACTCCTACTGGATTGCAGCTAATTAGAACTTTCTACAAACCCTGTAAAACTCGTGAGTAGCCCTTCGCCTCAAGCAAGAACCTCTGTGGAGCGGTGGCTTATTTCCTGTCGATGGTCCGACTCCCGATCCTAACAGCCGAAACAATAATCTGTGTTCTCTATTCCAGTGGAGGAAGAGCTGAACGAGATAAGCGCCTCGCAGAGGTCTCTGACATCGCTCTTCTGTGTGATCGCGCTCCCTCTGATTGCTTTCCTGAGGACGTTCTGCGTACGGTGACCGAATCCGATGGGATACTGATGGCTTCTGGGGAGCGTTTCGCGTCAAGCTGGGGCCATCAGTTGTTATCGATAGTGATTATTTAAAGACAAACCTTCTGAGCGAGAATGGTTTTGGGACCATTGCTCGGAGTACAGTTTGGAGGGTTATCCTACCTTGTTGAGCTCGCTGAGGAGGCGGCAATTTCCGACGAGGATGTCTTCAAGTTCGTGACTGTTTCTCATGAACAATCGCCATAACACGTTCCCTTGGTATAATGTATTCTCTTGTCGACGGTTGGTGATCTTCTGATGCGCCGTAGTCTGCGGCGAGGCCAGCAATCTGATATTAGGGAGCAGGGGGGGGCAAATATGTTCACCGAATCGGGGAGAGTGATCCCGAGCACTGCCCCCTTAGCCTGGGGGATACCGGGAATCGCACATGTCATTGGGAGCGATCGCCCCTCTCCCTCTGGCTACGCAACTGGCCGAAGTATTTCCCTTAATGGAGTCGACATCATTCGCTCAGAATTTTAGTCAGCAGACTGATTCATCGCCGATGCGGGCTTTGACAAACTACCTCTCCCTAGTTACTATTGTGTTTGTGTTGCTCAATCGAGCAATGTTACGGTGAATAAATCATTCTCTTGAGTGTGAATGTTTGATGAGCTCGATTATCTTTTTTATCCGATGACTCTCGATCCTAGAGCGATTTTGTTGTGTCAGGAACTGCAACGACTGTATTTCATGCAATGTTCCTGGCAAGAGCATCCCCCTCCTCTTTGAAGATCTCTTCATCCTCCCAAGAGGATTCCATTCCGTATATGCAGGCTCAAGGTGATGTTCAATGAGTCGCTCCCGCCTCGACGCCGGAAACTCTTCAAGGGAAGAATGGATCCTGCGATTTTTATCACGACCAGGTACGGAGTCTGGAGAGTTTCGGTCGCAGATACTGGGTGATCCACAGGGTCCTGAACCGTTTTAGGCGGATCGGGATTTAATTCGTCAGTAACTGATCGATTCGATTTTCGTACAGCCGAATTCTCCGCTCTCGGAGACCATTCGAGAAGATCGATGGTCTCTACGGATATCTAAGAGACAGGATAATCTACATCGAGACAGTTGTCGGGCTCTCTACGAATTTTGATTCTAGGGATCGAATCCACGAATGGGTCAGAATTGTGCGCTTCTAGGGCGTAGCCCACTGACCACGCGTCCAGGTCAGAGCCGCTCAAAGAAATCAGGGGGGGGAGCCCGAGGTCGCCCCCAGGACAGCTACAATCATCCGCTGAAAAATCTGAGGTCTAGCGTCTTGCGGATCGAGGAAGCGGGACTTCCTCTCGACTCGGAGAGATGCGACCATCGGCACGGGTCTCCACCTTAACGGAGCAGTCACATTTCCACGAGATCGATCCTTTATTCGAACCTTGTGAATACTTCGACATTATGTACACTTGAAGATTCGAGCTGCCAAAGCGACGGCCAAATAACAGATGAGAGACAATAGGGAGAATCCGGAATCCTAGCCAGCTTTCAGGACACTGATTTCACCGTACCTCTAGTCCTAGAGCACCAAACTTATATTGTATCTCTCATCTTGCGCCTCGTCTGCTAGCACCGAGGACTGCCTGGACCCCAAAAACAAGTTTTCGCGTTGTGAAGAGCTCACTTCAAAGTCTGATATTCCGGCGAAACAGATTCTAAATAGAGCAAGCGATCTTCTATACTCTTCAACCGGAGCAGTAGGCTCGTCGTCGATGATGTCCCAATGCCAATCTGGGATTCTATCGTTGAAATCCGTTGCTCGAGATTCCGATCTTCGGAGACGATTCTCGGTTTTGATGATTCGGCTGACGGACCCACTTCATTACAAGTATGCTCAACGCCAATACGACGATATCTGATCGTATGTATGAACATAATGTACTCGGAGCTTCAAAGGGACATGTCCAAATAGGAGGATCATCGGGTCGCTGATACTGTTCCGAAATTTGGCGTCTCCGAAACCCGCGAATTATTGACTCAAAAACCTACTGACACTACAAACCTGAATGGCAATGTCCTCGCGCATTCGCCCTCCTGGACATGATTGGAAAGTTTCTGCCGCTCGTCGCTTTTGCGTTGGAGGAAAGCCTCGATCCTCTTCTCGAGAATATCTCGACTTCCAGCTTTTATCTGAACGTTCTCCTTGTCTGCAACCATAGAACAATCATCCAAGGCGTTCAACATTTTCGGGTGAAGGTATGTAAAGATGAGGCTAGGAATGGGAATCCTGTCGGTTCTTACGCAGGGGAGCCTTCTCCAAGGCTGATTTGAGCTCTGAGGCAAACCTCTGAATGGCTTCCTCGACCTCTCCGGCGTTTACCCGCGACGCTCGCTGCGGGCTCACAAACTCATATTCTAGAACGCCGGCATCGCGGAGATCGTTCAACAACGTGACTATCACTTTCAGAGAGCTCTCCATTCTGAGCGACGAACGGCTGAGGTCCTAAGTGAGACAAAGCAGGACTGTTAAGAGATTCGATTCCATGATTGCGATTGCGTATGAATAACTTGCGTGTTTTCGAATTGTGAGATCATCCACCTAAGTTAGGATAAATCTATCATCAATTATGAATGTCTAACCACTCGGAACGGCAGTCGAGGGGAATTCCAATTCGAATCGCCGTACGACCCGGCTTGGCCGCAGCTGGCACGAATAGGAGCACGACTTCGGCAACTTGTCAGGAAAGAACCCGACTCTCAGCTGTCGGGACTTTGTCCTCGATAAGCTGGTCGGTGTATACGTTCTGGACTTTCAGCTGTTCTTGTGCCGCCTAAGAGGGACTCTCTCCCACCCACTACTCTCCTCATAACACTCTCTCTTGTTCGAAAAAAGCGTCGTCGGCTAAACAGACACACACACACGTCACACACGAATGGGGATTACACGGATCTGTTCCAACTTTTAAAGGCTGCATCATCCGTGCGCTAGAGGAAAACAAGCATAGATCCGAAGTGTTACGGCCACTTACAGCGACGATTGGAGTTGGTAACGCAATACACATTGTAAGCCTCGATCCATTCTGATTGCTACGACCTCGGAGCGCGAAATCCCCCGACTGCGTTTTCATACGCTCGCTCCATCGGTGGTTGTGTTTACAGGAAAAGTGATGAAGAGTCGAAGCCGGTTCGCCTCCGCACCGCTAATTAATTCTTTCCTCCCGTGTCAGGGGTCTCCTGCACAATGTATTCTGCGGCACATGCGAAGCGCAACGGCGTGCACGGAAAAAACAAATTGGCTCCATTGTACCTGCGCATCTTGAAATCCCAGTCCGAGTGGCCAGACAAGGTGAATTGACCGGGGAAATGCCGGAACAAACCTGGCGTTCCTCCGCCTCACTCTGTACAGTGTCTAGATTCCATGTTCACCGACAGATACGAGTACTGTGTGCCCTTTCGGAATCCTCAGATCTGAAACCGTCTAGTGACCCGATCCGATGGATCCGATTCCCGGATGTTCGGGGGCGAGATACTCGATCGATTGTGAGAAGGCCTCCCCAGCAAATCCGTTCTTTTCTTTTCCAGGATGAATTCCTAGACGTGATCTATTGGCTCCGACAGTTAGTCGCTATAATAATCGGCATCATTTGGGGCATCTTGCCGCTGAAAGGCTTCCTGGGAATCGTCTTGTAAGAAAATCCAAAATGTGATCCAAAATCCGAAGTGATTCCTGAGGTTGAACTCTGGTTGAGTCAAACAATGTTCGACGGCGGTCTTCCCTACTCGCACGATCATGAAATCGATTGCATCTTCCCACAGGTTCTGCATGGTGAATACAGGATTCGTATACATCTACGCTTCGTACTACCAACAGGTCGATGAGTCTGAATTCGGTGAAGGTTGGGAGTTCGCCAAGGAGGGATTCATGACAACGTTTGCCGGCTTCCTCGTGACGTGGATAATCGTTTACACCGGAATTCACGCCAACGACTCCGCCTTCTAGAATTTTAATAAAGCAAATTTATACTTAAGTCTCATAGCGGAGGAATATTATTCGTCTCAGGGATTCGACGAGCACCACGAGAGCTCATCGACAGGCAGCCCCTACCGGTGGCCCAGAACGAGAATTTGAGGGGGAAATTGGAACTATCGAGCGATCCTCTTCGGTTCTCGACTCTCGGAAATTTCCGCCCCTCGTATCGGACTTCGACGGATGTGAGGGATGAGATGAGGAGATTGGCTTTTCTGCCGAGAGTACAATACGGACATTGCTTTAGGCTCCAGAACTCCTCAGATTAAGGTGAAGGCGAATCCCTAATAGCAGGATGACAGCGAAGGCCTTTGAGGGAGCAGCCCCACCCAGATAAATGAGTTATCAGTGGAGCTACCTCTATCAAATTTAGCGTATTGATTTTCGCAATAGGAATGCCTTTCAATTCTCCGATTAGACCCTTTGGCCGTCGTCTACTAGGTTCTGGCCGTCGTCTACCTGCCGATCCTCCACCGGAATTCGAGAACACGGATAGGAGGAGCGGTTCTCTCCTTGTATGCGGGAGTGATCGTTCCTCTCGACGCTCCTCCGTGAACGGATCGGCAATCGGATCCTCTCCTGGAAATTCCGAGTCGGAACCCTCTCTTGAACTCAGGTGCCCGTATTCCGGCACTTCCCCTACTATGGGAATGAACCCGGTGGGTACATATTGAGGCTTCCTACCATAGATCCGCGAAAAATTCACGGAAGTCCGTGCCTCTCGAGCATGCTCCCCGTGAGTACCACACTAGATGCTCGATGAATCTATCTGAGCTCATCAAGGCATCGTTCGCTGACCACATTTCCCCATAATGATACCGGAGCCACGGCGAGAGCCATAAAGCTCTGACACCGCGCCAGCCGGTGCGACTGCCGATTGCCGGGCTCGACCAAGCCCAGACATCTGCCGCAGCAGACCTGTGTCCCGCAAAGGCCACGGGAGGTCACCGTCATAATAACAGAGCCAGACAACATCCAACATCTGAGTCGATTCGGTTTTTGGAAGCCATCGGTGCTTCTGTCTACAGCTTCACGATGAGTCTCCTCATTCGAGCGATGCCCCGGACAGCTCTGCTCCGAGCCAGCATCCTCAAGTCGCAGCCATGCTTGTCAGCTCTCGCCAAGCGCGAATCCAGTACGGGAAACCATACCCCTCTGTGGACCGCGGAGAGAGCCGTCTCTGCAGGTTAGCGTCTCTTCCTTATTATTCATTATGACGAATTATTCCCAACCCCGAAGGCAAACTACAGCAGAATAATACCAGGAGTCAAGCATCGGTTCTCCGCGGAGGGAACAAAATAAAAAATTCCGTCAATGATCATCATCTACCCAGAGAGCCCCCTATCGAAATTCCATGGGATGAAAATCTGCCTGATCTTACTCCCTGAGATCCTCAGTCGAATATCTCTCATTTTCCATGAATCCAGCTCTGATTGGCGTCACACCTCTCGCACTCGCTATGCCGAATCCCGCTACGAATTTCCTCTTGTCGCTGGCATTGACAGCGCACATCCACTGGGGGATGGAAGCGATCGCTGTCGATTACGTGAGAGCTCGGGTCGTTGGTAGCGTACTCCCCAAGGTGAGCCCACAAAGAATTATTTCCTGAGTGGTGTGAGCGATTCAGAGAGAAAAACTCTCCTCACGACTCCCTTTTCTCCAGCTCGCCATGGGTGCCGTCTACGGGCTAAGCTTTGCGACCCTCGGCGGTTTGATGTACTTCAACTTCACCGATGTAGGCCTGGCCAATGCCATCCTGATGTTCTGGAAGCTATGATCATCTTAGTGTATTTATAGTTATTGACCATCCTGCTCGATTGTAAGAGGTGAGATAGGGTGGTAGAAGGAAATAAAGCTTGTCCGACAAGGTCGAGAAGGAGGTCGACTTTATCATCATTCATAGTCGAGTTTTGAAAATTCTCTGCCTATTCCTGATTGTCCAGAGCAGTTTCCGATATTGGCTCCGTGGCTGCCTTGAAGTCGGTTCCGACATGAAAACGCTGTGGAAGGGACAAGGAAGGTATTCTCCGAGGTTTCCCACCCTGAGGGGGGCGGTCTGAATTCATTGGGTAATCTTGCGGTCACGCAGACGCCATGACTGTATTGAAATGGACTCCGTCAACTGTAGTGAGACGCGACTGTACCGGATCATTTGTGAGAGCGGACTTTGCCTGCAAAATTCGAGTCAGGTACAGGAAGAGATGAGTCCTTCATTCCCGGCGAGCTCATGCCAGATGGGCCACCGATACACCCAGCCTTTCCACCATCGCAATCACAAATTGCTTCGGTGGAACCAGATATGAGATTGCGACGGCGAGATGCTCCTCACGCATTCAAGGATGCTGGAAGCGCAGGTACAACCCATGAACTTCGGAAATCCCGTTTTACTCTGACGCAGACCAAATCCGCGACTGTCTGAAACGCTCTCGGAGAACGGAGGACCTATGACTCGTATATCGAACCTGCCTCTTGCGGAGTAGAGCTGCTCGCGGGCGGGAAGCTCATGTCGTAGTCTTCAGAGACGGAGCTCTGAATCATGCAACACTTCCAATCAGCCCCAGACGAGAGGGTTCCAGAAGTACAAACGCAGGTCGCCGACTTTGATGCCCGGATATTTTCTCAATATGCAAGGGGCCCTCAACGGCGGCGGCTTTGCTTTCCGTTCTTCACATGTATCTCAAGTCTTTGTGCTTCCCGATGTTGATGACTCCGCGAGTTCGAGTCTGAGATGTGACTCTTGAAAGCGCTCATTCGCGCGGGTTCCCCCTGTTTCGAAGAGCAGGACTGTTCGTCGAAGTTTTCCTGTCGCGATCGGCTCGATGAGACAGGCGATACCCTCCCGGACGTGCAGCGATGAGAAAGCCTATGCACAAGGATTCCGAAACCAGAGAAGGTCAAGGAATTTCCCCAGGAAGAGTTGTTGGCTCGTTAAATCCTAGCTACAGGGAGTGCTCGGCTGAATCATGCGAATCACGAAGAACGAGAGCGGTCTCCTCTCATTCGCAGCTAACAGGAGGATCTAGCACATGAAAACAGAGAACTGTAACGACTGACTTCCTCCTACGGCGAAGCAAGCAGTATCGATATTCCTCAATGTATTCGTTTTCTCCATACTTTTCTTCTGAATTCAATATACGATACCACATGGAAACTCAATCAGTGAACATGAGCTCCGATACCAACGAGAAATCTCCGAACGGGGCTCACTTGTAAAAGACGAGCTGAAGCACACGCTAAGAGCCGTGCTCTCGAAATGTTTGACAGCTCCCTTGATATTCGCTGAAGAGGGAGCTTCCGCCCAGGATGACTCGATTCCCCAGACGGAAAACGATCTTCCGTGCTTCACAATGAAGAGCCGATTTTGTTCCCAGCACTTTATTGGGACATTCTTTGACGAATCGTTCGGGGAGTCTATTGTGTTAACCCTTCTTCTTCGACACACCGACAGTTCGTCCTCGGCGTCCAGTGGTCTTGGTGTGCTGTCCTCTCACTCGGAGACCCCAGTAATGACGCAGACCTCTGTGCGCCTTGATCTTCTTGAGACGTTCGAGATCTTCACGGAGCTTCGTATCCAGCGTGCTCGAAACCACCTGCGAGTACTTCCCGTCAATGATGTCCTTCTGTCTGTTCAGGAACCAGTCCGGGATCTTGTATTGACGGGGATTCGCCAGGATGGTCACGATGGCATTCACTTCTTGTTCGGACAATTCACCGGCACGCTTGTTCAAGTCGACGTCGGCCTTCTTGCAAACGATGTTTGCGAAACGACGACCAACACCCTGAAAGACAGATATCTTTTACCCGGTCTGAATGTGCTCGCTCCGGATCCGAATCTGTGACTGCTCTCGGTGTCGCAAGCTCCCGACCGGAGTTCTCAGGAAGTCTGCATTGGAACAGAACAATCAGCCCTAGCCCCGGGTCTCTCGCGTCTACTGAAGTCCGAAAGACTGAGGAACTTCTGGGGAGCCGCACAAGAGCTCACGCCACGGAACAGAAGGGAGACCACGACGATGTATGCTTTGAGCCTTCCGAGACACTCCTATTCGGGACACGAGGCGAAATTCTTCAGGAGGAGCTTCGAGTTGAATGAGATCGTTCTATTGGACTCCGGGAGCATCTCCGCCTGGACATTCCCAATGACTTCTCTTCGGGTTTCACATTGACAGAGTGAAATATCGAGTACCGTGGCACAGCACCGACGGAGCCAAAGGAGCCGGTTCTGCATGGTCAGGCTTCTCTCGGTAATTTACCTTGATCGAAGTCAGGGCGTACATGACCTTCGTCTGGCCATCGATGTTCGTGTTGAGAACACGGAGAATGTGTTGAAACTTTTCAGGAAGAATCAAACTCATGTTGGCCACGTGCTTGTAGCTAGCAGCTCCGACGAGAAAAGGATGGCGACCGCGATGGACGCATCACACTTGGCATCAGCTTGTGTGGCGGACGTGGCTTCGAATTGGCGCCATATTTGAAAAGCGCTCTGCACACCATTCGAACGCGGAACTGGGCTGCGGGGGAAAGTTGTGACTTTTGAGCAGTATCCACTACGCATCGCCCAGGCTGGTCACTTTTCCTACGGCAAGCGAAGTCGTGAGCCGGAGATGCCGAACCTCAGTTAGTGAAGGAGAGACGCTGCATCTATTGTGTGGAATTGCTTCGAGCATTGTGTTGAAGTTTCAATTCTGCTCTTCGTCTGTTACTTGTTGAGAGCATCCTTCGCTGAAGAGGATCACCCCGGAGTGCAGAAAGTAGAATCTTCTGGTCCTACCTGTGGGAGGAGGCGAAGCGACAAACTATGGACGAGTACCAGTGAGACCCGAGCTCATCCCCTGAATCAGGTCAAAGGTTTCAAAGCCCTCCCTCCGGAGAGTTATCGAAAGGCTGATCTCGAAGAGAAGCGCTCGCTGTTGGGGATTGTGCGAATCGATTGACTGATACGGCGGAAACTTATCTGCATCTACGGGAGTGTCGTCATAATTTCTGCTCAGCCCCCGCATCTGTATTGTAACTTCGAGCCAGGCAAAGTAAGTGAGTTCTTCTCTAGCTCAGTGAGTCTATCCAGGGTCGTATGGAATGGTATCGAACGAAATGAAGATCTCCATCTGGATGGTCGCGTGGACCTCAGTCATGAGTCACGGGGTGCGGAATAATTCGGCTCCTTCTGCGTAGAAGCTCACTTCCCGTCAAAACACATTCGAGACGAGAATATGTCTTCCGGGGAACCTATTCCAGTCACGATGAGTGCTCTGGATATGCGGCACTGCCGTCCGCCCCAGGAAGCGCTGAATAGCAATCATTACGGAGACTTGTCCCGGGATTGATGTCCTTTTCGTCGCTCCGTGCGGAGATCATCGTAGGGGGTCGGGTCGCTGAGGGAAGCAGATCTCGCATCAATGGTCGCCAATTCCATTGCATCCAGTCCAGCTGTCGCAGAGACATCATGGGAGCGATCTTCTGCTCGTAGCCATGATTGCACCCATGAGCATAGGCGTAGAATTCCACCAACACGTAGTCGGGACCTCGCCATGCTTTCATGGCGTGGGTGACACAGAATCGGTAGATTTAAGTCTAGTTTTTCTCAGACAGTCTCACAACAGTTATACGCTTGATCTTTTCAGAAATGGAGGAGAAACTCGGCCGAACCAGACAGCTCTCAGAGAGTGCCGAATCCGAGGATCCCAAGCGTACGAGACCTGACGACGGGACTGCGCAAGAGGTCGCAGCTTCTCCGCCCAGTTTTGTGGACTTCGATAAACTCATGGAAAGCCTCCGTCGAGATACAGAGACAATGCAGCTGGCTCATGAAATCGCTCTCAACCCGGACTTCAAACTCCAGAAGCCCAATCTCCCTGCGAATAGTCTCTATGCTCTGGTCCAGCAGAATATGCGGAAAGCCTACTGGGATATCATCAAGGAGGACATACTCAAGGAGCCTCCCGTCCTCGACATGGTGATCAAGCTATGCCAGGACATGCGGCAATCGCTGTTGGATTTGTTGTTGCCACACCAGAGCCAGATGCGCGAACGAATAAGCGAACTCTTCGATATCGAGCTCATCAAACAGCAGTGCGAGAGTCAGAGAAGTATCGACCCGCTGAAGGATTATGCCCCGGCTCTGCTAGGCTTCATGCAACGGTTGTGCTGTCCCATGAGGGACGAAGAGATCGAGGCCCTCAGAGGCATCGAAGACACGGTTGAACTCTTCCAGGGAATGACGCGAGTGCTCGAAGAGATGAAGCTGGACTTCTCGAACTTCTTGATCGATCAAATCCGACCCGTGATGAGGCAGACGATCGTATCGTATGAGCAAAATCAAATGAAGAAAATTCAGACAGCACAGGAACTGATGGGTGTCGACCCTCACAAAAACACGAAGAGATGGCTGCGTCGAGCCTTCGAGGACATAAGCTCAGTGGACGACCAGAAACCCGCGACCGGAGTGGTTCTGCTGCAAGGATTCATGCAAGCCGTTTTCCAACATCAGTACATTAGCGAGGAATGGGAGTTGCCAGAAACACTCGACGTGGACCGTGAACGAATTTTGGAGCTCCAACAAGCTCACCTGATGATAACGATCGGAGCTTCAGCCATCACCATCGCACAGACTTATCTGCCGCCTGCGAAAGTGACGGCAGGTATCAAGGGTCGTATGAAAGATGTCGCTCTGATAGTGCTAGCGGATGTCAAGTGTTCAGTGGAATCAGAACTGCGGGAAGCCTTGAGCGATGTCGCGACCAAGTTCTTCCAGGATATTCAGAAGGAAACGTCGGCGAGCTTGTCGAAGCAACAGGAGATCCTTTTCCATGGTCAGATCGCAGATTTGGTGAACCTCAATAATGCTGTCAGGAATCTCATCTATGGACGAATAGTTGCCTTCGTTTCAGAGATCGCCAAAGGAGTGCAGAATGTCAAAGTTCCTCTAGGTCTCTCAACGTTCGAGAAGGAACTCCTCAAAGTCGTGGCAGATTTCTTGAGGGTCATATCTTTGAACAGAGCCACACACTCCGAGTTGTACACATCTATTGTGACGGACATTGCATCGCTGAAGCCTGGCGGTACAAATGATCCGTGAACCTGTATTTGCTCCCGGTGCAATCGAAAATGCTGGAAATTGTATCTTGCCTATTTTCTAGAGATGGATAAGGTTCGCTCGTCCTCGACTGGACCTGATGATCGTGCTGTTTCCGGCTCCTCGCTTGTCCCTGTCCCCGACATTATATTCCGGTCGAGTAAGTAAGTTGTGGTGCGTACGAAAATGGCGCAGTTTGGAAAACGATGATGTTTCGGTGCATTCGATTTGGAATGGCAATCGGAAATTCCCAGTCCCAATTGCTGCCCGGGGTGACGCGACGCGAAGTGTCACACCCTCTCAATGACAAGGAAACAGTGGAATAGGACTGCGAGTATGACTTTATTTAGCCAAAAAGATAGGGACTAGAGGCATATTATGATGAAGGCGGATATTTGGCCATTCGACCGCCTTCTTCCAAGTCAGTTATAAATTATGAGATGTTCATATACTCGACAAGCAATACACAGTTCTCTTTTATACATTTGCGATGTGGAATGGAATCCATCGACGTCGCTGACGAAAAGAGGCTCGGAATCGATGATCCTCAAATTTGTGGACCTCGTCAGTTGTTCGAGGTGGCTATGCGTATCGCTCTCCGACCCCAATGACGTAATTCTACTCACCATAGAAGATTCGTCGATAGACGCCGTCTGAGATGAATCGTTCTACCGGTGGGACACCGATGTCGCAGGGTTCACAAGTACTACCTAGACTGAGATTTATCGTCGACGCCTAGAATTTGATCTCGGAGTCTGATTTGTCATCGATTCAGATCTTGTAAGATTCGGGTTCACTTTCCCAGCAAAGGAGAGGTTCTTTCTCCATAAGGATTTTCAAGTGGTACATTTGAAGATGGCATGTCCGCAAACTCAATCGTTCATCCAAATCCAAACCATTCATCTCCGCCGATTCTCTCAGCTCCGTAGGCTCTCTAACAAATCTCGACCATGAGTTTAGAATTCGACTCTCGCACGCTTTCTCCTTTCCGCATTCGCTGTCCTTCCCACGTTCGTCGATATGGCGCCCTCTCGTGATATTTCTCTTCATTCGAGAATCCCTTTGCTGAGTCCGACTTTGAGAGGCATCCGAGGTTAGGCTTCTGAGTGAGTCGGATTTCCCTCCACCAGAATTCAGGTATCACAGACTTTCACAGCTGACCTCGGCGCACAAATATTGTGTTGGAGGACAAACGGAGAAGTTATATTCGACGCTTCAATCCTAAATTTAGTTTCAGCCTCGAAGCCTAGCCGCCCACTCGATCCATCGAATGACTTTCGACATCCTGCCATTCGCTTAATTACAATAGTTGTAAATAGATTTCTCTTTCCTCGATACGTCTGACATCGAAACTTCTGCCCCTTGATCAGACGGGACAAGGTCGTCCACGCCAAAGCTCGTCTCCAGAATATGACGAGCTCGATGATGTTGCGAGGGACTCAGCCGGGAAGGATTGACAGGCAGAACATCATCTCCGGTTGACCGACTCTCGTCGAAGTCAGTCGGAGACGGGAAGATTCGTAGCTCTCCGATAGTGTTCGTCGTGCCACCTCTCGAGACGGATTTCTCAACCCCGCACATCATATCTTCAACACTGAAGCCTTGTCGGAGACGATCAATGATCCTCTGTGCTCTCGTCGCTGGAATCGTCGAAACCCGACAAATCGACATCTTTGAGATGGCCATGAATGAGGGCATACTCCAGTAGCGCCAGATGACAAAACACGTATTGGTCTGGCATCTGAATTGAGAACGCTCGCTGCGAACGTATATTTTCCACAGTTTCGCGGACGTTGATCATGCTTTCGGCTTCCAACCGACGAATGCACGTGTCCAGCGTGATGAAAGTTCCTGAAAGAGAAAAACATCAGATATCTCTCGTGAGCGAGCATGTGGAAGCCCGATCCGGGCGTATCCAGCTCCTATGGGGATCTCTAGCTCACAGAAATAGAGTCGACGCCGCTGTCCGGAACTTACCGGTTCGACCGATCCCAGCGGAGCAATGCACGACAATCGGCGGTCCGTGTTCGACAGAGTCCCAGAGCATCCGGTTCTTTAGTGCTTCGAGCGTTTCCCGCTGCTTCAATAAGCAGACATCGCGGAAGGAGAGCATGGCGAAAGCGCTCTCCGGTACTCCGTAGTCGGGCCAACTGAGGAATTGCAAGTGCCATATGGTACGAGCCGAGAGGTCATCTTCGCAATCTCGCAAGCAAACTTGCAGCTCGGTGACCTGATAGTCTCCAGCAGCTTCGACGCCCTGATTGGCAATACGGAATTCACCGTGCTCGTGCTCCTCGCCTTCGGTTGCGGGCCAATATTGGCCGCACTTTGTTCGGGTTCGTTCTATGCAGCGCGTCGTCATTACGATGACGCCACATTTCTCCTCCCAGATCATTTTCCAAAAATCTCCGAAAGTTCTCGGGAGCGGCCCTTGCGTGGAGATGAAAGCCTTGCTCATTTTGTAACCGTCGACGTAATTCGCATTGATATAATCCGTCGATTCTTCTTCGGCCGAATTCTCCGCGTCGGACGACACGCTCAACTTTACTCGGGAATGATCGAGACACAAAACGTCCGTATAACGATTTTTGCTCTGATTCATCTTGTCTCGGGCAGCGTCGAACGTTCCTGCAGGTAGCCGACTCTTGATTTCTGAGTATTCTCTGCAGAGACCTCTCCGCCCTTTCTTTTGAAGGTCCAAGATGAATTCTTCCATTGTCATGTCTTTCGCTGGCTCTAGCTCTGGTGGGGTCTGTACCGGTGGTATGGACGGTGCCACTATCTCAGAGGGGATGTGATGTACGTGAGGCATGCCTTTCATAGGCCCTGTTGAGGGCAGTTGAAAGCCGGGACAGGTTGGCGCCACAGGAGGGGGCAGCGGTACAACGCGAATAGAGTTTGCGCTGACCAGTGAGTTGTCATCACCTTCCTCTTCCGCAACTTCTTCGCGCTCTGGTGTGACTTGATTATTGCCATTCTGAACTCCATTCGTGTCATGCGTCTGTTGGAACGCTGTCCCGTTACCGTTCGCTGTCATTTTCTGACCCCCGTTGTTTTCTCGGCTGCAGAGATCGTCTGATTCTTCGTCGAGCTCGATGAGCTTCTCGGTGGCGATGTGGTCGTCGAGACCGGTTTGATTTAGGAAATTTTGATTGTGCACTTTGAGGCAGTGCAACAACCACGCGTGATGGTCGTGATCCGTCTGTGTACCTCCCAACTCTACCGGTAGTGAAGATGGGGGTATGTGCGCCACTAACTGTGCTTGACTCACTATCATAACCTGAAATCATCGAATCACTTCAGCTCGATGCGAGACTTCCGGCGCATCGTCGCCAGTCTCACAACGAGGTAGAGGAGCTGGACGACTTTGGACGCGCTCACTTATAGAAATACACCGAATCCTTCAGTTTCCAGGAGTTCACCTACCCTGTCTCTGAGTTTCTCGCGAACAAATAGTCGAAGAATCTTGAAGGGCGCTCTGAACCACAGAGGCGCACTCACTATGAGCACCTTCTTCAGTCGCGCGGGGTAGGCGCCCTTCAGCAACTGCAGAATTTTTTGACACAGTTCATAATCAAAATGCTCGTACCTGAAGAATGATTCGGAATTCGATCTTAACGGGGTTAATTATCAAGAGGGACTATTCCTCTGAAATTCGCATCAGCAATCCTGGGAGTTTCGTTGAAAATAGCAAACCTTGAAGCGGACATGTTGTAAACGAAGACAATGCCGTCCCGTTGCGTCAAGGGATTCTCAAGGGCTACGTCAAGTTGGTAAACCACACCTTGAAGAGTTGTCCTATGAGACGATGTTGATGGACTGTGTCTACTGGCGGTGAACATGGTGATTGCAGCTCCCTGCAATAAATTATCTTGACGATTTCGGTACCGAGAAACATCGATCATAGCAACGCCCATACTCCGAGGGCTGTCATCAACCTGACTTTCGATTTACCTAAGCGGAACAACGCCTCTTCGACTGCGAGTATTTCCGAGAAAAGGGTCAGCACACTCACCTGCGAGTCTCTCCAAGGTAGAACGGTGAATTTAGCCGTTTCAAGTTCTTCGCGGAGAGGACTGAGCGTGGGTTGAAAATTGGTGAGTCCCTCGCGGTGGCGCACTGATTCATGGTTTCGCAGGAGGTCGACGGCTCGCTCCACGTTGAATTTCCGAGCGCACAGGAACTTCACAGCGCTCGACTTCGATATCGATGGACATCGGGACAGGAATTGCTTCAATGCCTGCGATTAGAGAAAACGTACGAATTAAGGAGAGCGACACAGTCACATGTGAAGGCACCACTAAGGCGAGCAGAAATGCGGGAAGCATCTGGCTGGAGTGGTTGACTCTTGACCGTGGACTCGCTCTCTCTTTACTCGTGATGAACTTCGCTCCCCATTCCGGTAGAGTCGAGTCTTTTATCCTGCACTCATTCGTGTGGAACTCGAGCCTTGCGGTTGAAAACGACCGAGCTGCAGAGAGATCCAAGTGCGGTCACCCAGGCATTCAGACGAGAAAACACAGACAGTACGATCGAGTGGTCCTCGATTCCGAAAACGAGCTCGTTTCGATCCGCGTAGGAAAATTAATCGTGGAGCCGAAAATAAAAAAGGTACACTTGAATACGAGGCTACTTGACAGCTGCGGATGATTTCGGTTCTGTCATCAGGCGCGAGGGGAAAGAGCGGGGCATTCTAACCACGACGACGGAGGAAGCCTTTCCTGACCTCGGGAACTAAACACAAACGTGATTTGAGAGTGATAATAATCGACTCGTAATTAGATCACATGAGTATACCGGATATTTTGAAGCTGGCTCTGCGATGGAGTCGCGGTAGGCCGAGCCGGCTCGCGGCAGAAGAGCGAGACCGCTCTCGTTATTGTTTTCTCTCAGTCATTCTCGGAATCACTCATTGAATATCATCCGATTCCAGTCAGTATTCGACGAGCAGGAATATTTGGCGAAGCAGCGAGAGACCATCCAGAGCAATCGCATGGACCACTCTGCTGCTGATGAGCCTCTTCAACCGAAAGAGGGATGGAGCCGGCATAGTAAGCCTCTAGCTCGCCGGTGATTCCGGCATATTGCTGACGCAGAGTTGAACCGTCGCGCTCATCAGCCAATGCTCGATGGCTGAGGAGCTCATATCCTCAAGATGAAATCGTAGGGACATCGGAAACATCGAGCTCGCTCATCGAGCATGCTCGACTGTCGCCGAAACATCACCAATCCTTACGAGAGGAGAGTTACTCACTCCCGAAGCCTCTATGAGTCTCAGCCAGATGCTCTGATTCGAAAGAACGAAGCCTCACCTCCTCCTCCTGTGTGTTGAAGGAATAACCGTTTTCAGGTTTCATGGTGGAATCCGCGAACAGTAAAGCTTTTCTTTACTAGAGCCGAATGGAGTGGTGTTGTGGTGACGGGACTGATTTCGCTGCTACAAGCTAGACAGCTCAATTGAGTTTGCGAGTGCAAGCGTGTCGCTCCCCCGAGCCATGTCGTTCGGTGACACTCATAGGCGCACGGAGGCACGTCGGCTTCCTAGGAACTTCCTAAACGGCAGAAGATGTGCCTCCTACGGGCACTGTACTCTCTCGGCTTGGTAAAGCCTATGCGTCGCTCAAGCGCTCGCCATCTTGCGGCTGTATTGCCCAATGCATTGGTGCTAGTGTGCTGGCTGCCGAGGGCGCCGAGCTAATTCCATGTCGAGACACGGAGCGAGTTCCTCTCGTATGTTTGTACAACACTGCTCTCCAGTAAAGGCCCACCCCTTTCCCAGTCCGGCTTGGAGCGCGCTAGTATTTGAGAGGTCTTCGACTAGAGCTGCACAATTGCGTTTGTTCTGGAGTTGAACTCAAACTTGCGATCATCGTATGTATCATTCATGATGATACATACGAAGAGTTCGGATAGTCTCCGTACCCCGAGCAAGTTCGGGTGAAGGGAGGAGGATTCCTTTGCCGGTCGATAAAAACTCAAAGGCTCAACAATCATTGAGGCCTCTGAATATTATTCGGTGGCGCTTATTCAGAGATTGTGGCGGCACGTCGACTAAACGATCATTTCCTCTCCAGCTGGGTAGCTATCGCATTAGCTGCTTTCAATCACTAATCGTTTGCTCGACGAACGCTATCGGGACCGATTGCTGAGCGGCAGCTCATCGAGCATTGCGTGCGGAAGATGCCCCGATGAGTAAATGAAGCTTTTTCTTGCTGAGATAATTCATTTTTATTATAATTCCCTGTCGAATTCATATAGCATGTCCATTGGCCTGCACATCAAGAGATGGCAAATCCTTGCTCGCCGACATCTGAGGTTACGCGGCCGACTTTCCGCCCGTAAGGCCTGGCGGGAATACTTCACTTTCTCGAGCCTTCGAGAGAATACCCCTCGGAGGATATTCGCTCTTCTTTTTTTATGCGATTGACCTGCTTCGCGCGCCCGGGGGCTGCGCGAATCAGGCCTCTCTTGCCGATTACCCTTGCAACTCTGGTGAGAAGGTGCTCGATCGCCCAGTCGCTATTCTCCCCCCTCAAAACCGGTTCGGCATACTCACGTGAATCTATGCCGTCCGCATTGGGAGTTGGAACGTTTCTATTGGAATTCGGGCCCCGTCAAGATGAGCGAAGCTTCGGCAGGCATAAGTCGCTGATAGGCCAGGTAGAGATGCTACTGAATATCGAGCTAAGCTTCAATCTCCATTGGGCAAGGCATGCCTCCCTAGCCTCGGTAATCGTCCTGAGACTCGCGCTAAAGCAACTGCGTTTCGCAGGAAACCAAATCTTTATTGGAAACCGAAATTGGAGCGTTCGGCCCAACAGGACGCTTTGCTTCCATTCGAGCAGTTCCACAGTCGGATTTAGACAGCCTCCCACAGCTACAGAAGGGGTGAGCAATCCCAAGAGAACTCAAGCGGCGGAGCCTCACCTGCTATCGAACTATTTCGGCCTTAGCTAAGACAGCGAATAAGGAAGTCGGCCGCAATTCATAGGAACCGCATTCGCTCTTCTCGGGAGGGGACCCCACTTCGGAGCTTCATTAATTCATAGGATCTCATACGGGCAGGAAGAACAGTACTTCAGATTAGACTCTGTCGTAGTCGTCACCTAGCCACCTGCATCCGGGAGCCGACTTCCGAAATCCGACCGACCGACGCGTCGGGTGAGCGACGATTCACCTTCAGGAGACTTTATTCGAACGCCGAAGTCCTCCGGAATCGGTTCAGCAAACGGCCCGCAAATCTTGATCGGAGACTCAACTATTCCTAGTTCTAAGAGAGTGAGTGGAACAGAGTAGACCACGATACCTGCTCCATTTCGGACTTCAGAAAAAAATCTTCCGGCACTGCATTGAAATGACCCCGAGAATCATTTCGGCAATTTCATCGGCCAACTCGAAACGACGGATAGGGGACTACCCGTATGACCGAATACGCTTGACAGAAACCGCTTGACCGAAGCCATTTGACCGAATTAGGCTCCTCCCAAGTTCGGGGGGGATTCCGTTGGACCCATCAACCGTCTGTTGCTGTACTCTACAATTCATTCGGAGTTGCGAGGTCTGATGAAAGACGAGGATCTGTCTCTCTTAGCGACGACCTTATCACAATCTCATTAGTTGACAATGCTTATATTATCGCTTATTCGAACCAGGAGATAATGAACTCGAGAGGGAGGACTATGATACGTACGTATCGATCCTGGTACGTATCATGGATCACGACAAGCGAGCACGTCAGGATTTGAGTTTAAAACCCACTTTCTGGATGTACTCGACCAGCTTGATTTCATTCGACTCGTACTGAGCGACTAGACGCATCAGACGCTCGTTCGCCCGCACGCATTCCTTCTTCGCTGGAAAATCCCAGAGTCCGATGTTCCGAGCTATCATCGATGGCAAGGAAGTCCTGCCCGTCGAGCGTCTTGGTCCGAGAGTTTCCGAGTGTGGTGCTAGCACGGGACGTGGCAGCGGCGGACGCACGCTTGCCCTAGCCCGGTACAGAATGGTCGACACGCCAGGACGCTGACGCCGTCGTCACTTCCGTGTGCACTTGCTCTCCACTCTTATGTGGTTTCGCGATCACACGCTTCTTCATTCTTAGGATTACGCTCCGCTCGATGATTTCCTCAGTTTCTGGTTCGTGACAGTGAGGATCAGACGTCCTCTGAACGATTCGATCGGATCACTTCAAAGAAAAGCAGACGGAATGTCAATCAAGGGGAGGAGGGATGAAATATTGACGCAAATGGAAAGTTCGCGGTCAGGCTCTAGAAGAGTCGATTTCTCGGACTCCTGCCTTCAGCTGCCTCCGATATTTGATCGCGGAAAATACTGGACCTTGTCGTAGGAACAAGCTCAACCGGAAAATATGGATCGGGACGAGGAAGGATTATCGGAAGCGTCATCGCTTCTTCATTGCATTGGGCTCGGGTCATAGTCACCCTCTCTCGCTACTCCCGTAGCATATATGTCGGAAGTACCATCTGGGCACGGGATCTGATCATAAGATACCATCGAAGCGGCTGAATAATTGCGGACCCAGGAAGGAGCGAGGAGGTCAGGCGAGGACGCATGTAAACAGAAGAGATCACGGAAACAGATGTTCTCCCTCCATAGAATCGGAGGGACACAGATGAGTACCTTCGATATTATCGCCCTTCCGTCGTAACCGAGCTCCTTCTTCGGGATGCATCGACGAAACAGGGCTTCGACGCCCTTCTTCTCCAAGGAATACAGGTAATCTTTGATCCTGTAGAGGAGCCCCCCTCCCGAAGACGACATGATTTGAACTTCCATTGCGATCAATTCGGTAATGAAACTTTGAACTGAGAAATTCTGATTTACCAAGTTTATGTGAGGTGGTTGAAGGTTCAGGTCATATCTCGGGATCTTGTTGTTTCTTGCTCTGTTCATTATTGTTCCTTGCACGCAGTCGGTGAAGAAATTTTCCCCACGACATTCGCAGTCAAGTTTGAGAGAAGGTGGAGTCTCGTGAAGTTTCTGAGAGAACTTAGGAGCGATGAGCGCTGTAAGGGAGGAACCTAATTCGGCCGAGCGGCTTCGGTCAAGCGGATTCGGTCATGCGGATTCGGTCATGCGGATTCGGTCAAGGAGTTCCGGCCAAGAGGTTTCGGTCGAGCGGATTTGGTCAAACGGATGGTAATCCTTTTCTCAAGAGGAATCTGTCTTCAACCTACAAGCTCTCCATAACATTAAATGGAGCGGACGCGAACTTCCCCTCACGGAAAGAATATATCGGAGGAAGTCACCGATGGTACGCGTTACTCTCCTACCGCTGCCCTGCTCCCCGTCCATGTAAGTCAGTTGACTGAATGCCCTGGATCGCGACGTTGTGTTCGGTATCAGACGGGGAGGCACGCGAATCCCCATGCCTTCATCTAGCGCGAACTCGGTCTCGAAGCTTGACCGGATAGCAGCCGCTTCCCCTATCCTTTTCCCGACAGGGCGAGAAAAAGTGAGCGCAAGCTTCACGACGCGCACTTCAGATCCATCCATGGCTGGGCTGTGATTTCTTATACGCGAATTTCCTCCAGAAGAGAGCACTATGGATGGAAGGCACTCGGTGCACGTCAATTGTCGTAAGATAATTTATACTCCGAGTCACCAGGAACCAGGAGCCACTGAGCTCTCAAAGCTCCTAATCGTGAACAGAAGGGAGATCAAAGGCCCCGCCTGGTCCCACTCAAAAGATTAGCAAAAATCATCAGCAGGCCCGCCTCTCTCTCCGCAGAGTCTCGCCACCTACCGGTAATCGGAATCCGATCCGACGAAGTTCAAACCGTTCTTCTGTACCCGCGGGCCTCGCGGAGCGCATGAAGTGCGTTGAACTTGGGGCCAACTCGATCCTGAGTGCAAGTGGAGTCACGGTGGAAACTTGAACGAGAGTCCATTCGAGGAACCGAATCCCGATAATATTCGGTGTTGGGCATCCGAGCAGACGCCAGCGTGTGCGGGGAGCGGGGAGAGATCTGAAAACTCGTGTGTTCGCTCGCGTGAGTTGTACCGATGTGTTCTAGGAAAGCGGCAATTCTTCTGCCGATATTTGTGTCTTCCCGTTCCCGTTTCGTCGTTAACAGGCATCCCTAGCCAATATTCCGCTGACCGCGTGCTCCAGAAGAGATCGCGATTCGAAGAGGGCCAACTGATCATATTGTAATGTTTGGGCAGATCAGCTGATGGTGATCAGCGGTTCCGATCGTCTGTCGGCAATTCGAAGATCCGCCAGTTCTGGAATTCATCTCGACTCCAGCTCCTCTGCGCCGATTCCCGCCTCGGTGAATGAGACGTATTGCCCAGAATGTCTAGTTTCGAAATTGAAACTTTGAAAACACTCCCGCCGTGTCATCCACAACTTGTTGAGGCGATAATAACTCAAATCAAGAGTCAAGGATTGTTCGATGACTTCAGGAAGAGCTGTCTCTCCGATATCGACACAAAGGTAAAGCACGGCAGGACTCCAGGCAGTATTCATAGTTTGGAGCCTGCTCTTCCCATGCGATACGCGAATTTCGGGAGAATTCTTCTCTCAACCAATTTGCAAAACGCGAAGAGGAGCTGACTCCTTAGACGGGATGATTAACTGAAAGTGAACCGTTTCCCCCCCTCAGCCATCGTATCTGAATCTGAAGCAACGGGTTGAGGGCTACGTGAATAAATTCTTGAGCCGTCAGAAGTGGAGCAGCGCTTTGCAGAAAAATCAACTCCGTGACACGCTCCGGAAAGATATCAACGAGTGAGTCCAGTTTCGTATCTGCCGTGCTCGATCGTCCTTACAGGCGCGGGTTCTTAGCCAGACACTGATTTCAGATCGGGCCTTTTAAAAACCGGTCTCGACCATCTCGTGGATCAGTTGTTGTACGCTCACGCCGAGAAATCCATTCGGCCGAAAGTCCGAGCGGAAATAAAAAAGTTCCTGAATCTTACCGATCCATCGGAGCAACAATCAGTTCTACAAGATGTCCCGAACTACTCCATCGCTCCCCCGCACTATGGTGAGACGACACAAGTTTTCCGCGTCGCATAGGCGGGGAATCGGCGAGAGCTTGGAGCTCGAGAACGAGAGGTCGATGATCAGACAAGTATTCCTTTCAAGGTCCCCCAGCGATGCCGCCGCTGCCGCCAGTTCCCCCGCCGCCTGACGTCACTGGGGTGATGATCGACACTTTCGGTAACCTAAAGCCTCCGGAGCCCCCCTCACCACACGGGAGCGAATATTCTGTTGGTGAGTAATATCGTACCGATAGGATTCCGACAATACTTTCCGGAGAGGTATCTACTGTGGATCCACGCGACCTCGACGCCCGTGGTTCTATTTTGTCGCCGTACCGCTCTAGCGGATATGCTCTCGGGTCCGAAGATATTGCTCGCTCCGAACCTATCCCTCAGGACTCGTTCATCTATTGAATTCGCAGATATGTCGGACTCTAGTATGGTAGGTCGAGACGAAGCTCCGCCCGCCTTGCCTAAACGTTCGACGAATCAGAAGTCAATCGACCCGGACGGGAGTGAAGCTTTGTGTGACATGGACCTCGAAAGCAAAGGGAGCCCACATCAGCCGAAGCTCGGTCTTGACCAGTGCTCGTCTCCCGAGATATTTGAAGAAGTTTCGGAAGAGGGCTCCCTCGGCGGAACACCTGTGCGGGATGAAGATGCGTAAGTTGGGATAGTCCTCATTCTGGTGCTTCGAGGGATCCAGAGCTCGAGGGATCCATGTCCGCTATCTCTAGGCGTGGCTTTTATTCACCCGGCTCATTCTCATCAGTTCCGACCCGAAGTCGAGATCATTCCAAGCACGGACGGATTTCACGGGTCTCTTCAAAGACTGTAGCAGAGCTGATCAGCCGATCTGCGATGAGACAGAAGTCATAATCGATGAGGTAAGTTCCGAGTTTCTATTCATATGCAGACGCCATCGGCGGACGCTTCGCTCGGCATCAAGTTCTCGAATGGTTTCTAGGAGAATATGGTTTTCGAAGTTTCGGAAGAGTGCGTCAAGACGGAGGAGTCCACGAAATTGTATGAGGAAGCCGCCACGCCGACCGCCGATGAGGAAGTGCTTTCAATGCAAGGAGATGACTTGGAGCAAGCAAACGTGACTCCGATCATGGACGAGGCTCCAGAGGGAGATGACGACATGTGAGTTCAATGATTCTTGATGACTGGCGTCGAAGACGCGTGACGTCTCATATAGTGGGAGACGAATTTCCCGGTCTCTCCGTACTCCGCGATCCTCCGATGCTCGGAGAGAGATGTGAGCTAATCCGTGGGAACGCGGCTGCGTTGTCTCCTATTGCAGGGAAATTTCGTCCGACGCGGAAACTCAGTGCGAAGATGAGGTCCAATCCCTCCTCAACGGTCTGCCGATCGAGGATAAGAACCCACAGACTATCGAAACACCGAGGAAGAGTCCTATCGAGATGGGAACGCCGCCTCCTCCCGAATGCGAAGCTGCTTACCACGAGAGCATGGATGCAGATCTTTCGAATACGCAACCACCCCTACAAATTGATACTGAAGATACGGGGAACACTGGTGAGCTCACGGAACTGTCCCATCCTCCAGACTCCGGCAGCGACGGTAATCCTAAATATGTCCCAACGTCGGGTTTTCAGTTATCGAGAAAACTCAACTCGAAGCTGGCCAGGACACTGAACGGACAAGCGACATCCCGTCCAAACTCTCTGATTCTCCTCCAAGCGGAGTGAACAAGGAAGAAACTCAAGTGACCGATTTCGAGGTCGATCGAGAGGCGGCAGATCCGCTTCCGGAAGCACTGAAGTCAGAGAAACTAGAGCCCGATTCCTCGGATGAGAACACGGAGAGGGCGAGCGTCGCACAACCGAGAACCAAATCACCGGAAGCGCCCGGAGGAGAAAAAGGTTCCAATCCGAAAGACGACGCGAAGCACAAAGAGAGGAAAAGCTCATCGAGCTCCCATCATAAGTCCTCAAGTCGAAGCGAGAGGTTGGTGTTTTCCCTTTCTGAAGGGCATCGCAGCGGCTCTAGAACGTAATAGGACGATCGACTCCTCAGGACGCTAATTTCAAGTCTCGAATTTCCCATCGCGGGTTTTCTTCTCTGATTGGGAGTGCCTTCCTCCGCAGCGACCGAGACCGACATCGTGAGCATAAATCATCTTCCTCCAGTCATCACGGCTCCTCATCTAGATCCAAGAAGGTGAAGGACCATCACGCGAGAAACCGCGACAGAGACGGAGATAAGCGCGAAGACAGGAAAGATAAAGAACGTGACAGGAAGAAAGACAGAGATCGGGAACGACATCGAGATCGGGGACACGCTGATAGCAAGCATCGATCGTCTTCGCACAGTCGCAGCAAACATCCGAAATCCGCTCAGCCAGATAAGCGGAGAGAAGAAGAAAGGTGAGATTCGGCGTCCGGGTTGACGTTCGTGAAAGTGCCTTCGGGAGCTAAAATGAAGGATGTCTATGATTGCCTATGTCCGTCGCATTCCGGAGGCTCGGAGCGGTGTCCGAGTTCTGGAATGGCTCTTCTCGCGGAGGAACCAAGAGGAGCGTCCTCTCTCTGATGCATTCCGGGTCCTTTTGGAGATATATCGCTCTCGAGATCAGCTCTCCTGGAGTCGAAAAATCTCATTCTTCCCGCGATGCAGAGTTCCTCATGATTCGTCTTTCCGACAAGGCAAGGAGTCATGAAACGAACTGAGCAGGTCAATCGGGCCAATCAGCAGAATCGCGACTGTCCGTGTTCGATTCCGTTCTTTTGCTCTGTCATTCCCCGAAATTGGACAGCAAGGGTTCTCTCATGGTTATACAGATGTTCGGACCGAGAATGAGGTTGAAGCGGCTTAAGAGGAGGCTGGCGGTAGAAACATCTGCCGCGTGCACTCCGGAAGTGCCTTCGGTCCGAGGATATGCAGACGTAGCCTAGGTTTATGAGATATCAGTACTCGATTCGACGCATGATCTTTGCAATGGGAAACATCGATGAACATGACGAGGATTTTCAGGAAGAAACGCAGCTCCGGCAGCTCGAAAGGGCTTAGTCGTTCCAAATCCGGGGAGAACAGGTAGGTTGGGCACCAGGTGATGAGCGCTTCATCAATCATATTTTGGTAGGCGCTACCATGATCTCTTTGTCTCTTTCAGCCCCGTGGCTGATGCGGGAATGTCAGATACAGAGGTGAAGACAGCGGCGGAGACTATCGGTACCGTTGGGGTCGATGCAGACTTGTCGACGAGAAACAAGAAGTCGGAGCGCGGAATCCTGCCTAGGACCCGAGCCGCTCCGACTCCTGAACAGACTGACGTGAGCGCCTCCAAAGAAGCGCCTCCCAAAGGAACTGCTGCATCTCCCCCCGAGAGATCTCCTAATACGCCTTCACCGCCAACATCGCCTCTGCCGCCTCCGTCGACATCCTCGGTGGCGCCTTGTGATGCAAAAAACCCCTCTGAAGATGACCTTGGCGACTCCGAATCGGAAGTGCCACTGAAAAAACGGAAGAGAAAAGTGTCGAGGCAACTGGAAACTGTCGCAGAGCAGGGCCGCCCTCCAGACGAAGTCAAAGGTGAGCTTCATCCAGCTTCAGACAAGCCTCTCGGGACTCGAGTCTACCTCTTTGTAGCGAGTGATCAACGTGATCCTCATCGAAGAGTTCGGTCATTGAGGTTCTGGTTCATCTTGATGTGATTGTGGAGGTTATGATCATCGCCGCACGCGTGTGTATACCCGTCGCGACACGCGACTCGCATATTGACACGAATTCTCGTCGAAGGTTCATCTTGAATCTGCTCAGATATGCCCATGCTTGGAACTATACCTCGATTTAGATTAAGCTCATCGGATCTCTAATTCTCGCTCTAGCCGCAAATAAGATTACTCTGATTGAAATGTACTTTGTTTTTGCTCCTTCCCACAGAGATCCGGAGAGAGAGCACTACTGCCAAGGGTAGAAGGCGGCGATCCTCCGCAGCGTCAGTCACATCGCAACAATCTGCCGAGCTCATGGATCAACCCGAGTCACCTGTTCCGTCGAAGTTCGGCAGACAGAGGAAGATCAACCCGAAATACGAAGATGATGGAACCCTTTCTGCATTATTGTTCGGGAAGAATTGAACTGCGGAAACTAGCTCGAGACTCCCTTGTGGAGGGAGTCCCGCTCTCAAGATTTCGATCGAACTGGCGAGAAAATCGCCATCAGGCGTATGTCATGATCCTCTTCCTCTCCATTGCTCCGGACCGTACTAGCTTTCGACTGGATCCGTTCTCTCCTTCGGCCGATCGAGAAATTATCCTTTCTCTCACCGACGCGATATCGATGGGCTTGATCTCTGTTACTGTACTTCTATCCAACCTCTGCCTTCCACAAAAACTTGACTCCTAGCCGGAGCGAAGCTTCTTATAATTCCCGCCAACAGGGAACCCTTGTTAATAAATCGGAGCTCGATTGCACAGCTGTTTGCCTTCGGATCGGGAATTTTTTCCGAGCTCGAGCGACTTCGGGGCGATAAGTAGTTCGAAAATCGAGATCCTCATTCCTCACTGTATACTGACATGGAGTTCCGAAGGATCTCCATCCACAAATCTTTAGATGACAGAATAAAATGGGCAGAAACTCCGAATGTTTCTTCAGCGAGAGATGACCCCTGACTTTATTCCAACCGCATTCAGTCCCATTCCCTCGGTTCAACTATTATTATACAATTCGCTCGGGAAATCTGACGAAGCGGGGATCGGGTCGCGAGCGTCCTTGCTTGTATCGAATCTCCCGGCTGTTGGTGCGACTCTGGGACTTTGGGATTGGATCCGAGTCTTCTCGTAGGCTTCGATCACTAGGGCCGACTCATCTCCCGAACATGGGATATCAAGCGCATCATCTTAAAGAAGGGGTCCGCCTCCGAAGAAGCTCACCGTCGCGTCATGATTCTGACTGACTGACTTCACTGATGATCGAAGCCATTATAAGGCAGGAGCTCGTCTTATCAGTGAGGTTCCCGTTTCAGTCGAAAATCAACCCGACCTCAGTATGATATACTCATCCCCCGCGGCACATTCGAGACCGAAAAGAGCTTTCTCCCACAGGGATCGACTCTCGGATTCTCCGGTTGTTTCAGCCTGCGTTCGTAGCCCATGGAAGCTGGTCTTCCTCTGAGCTAGAGAGCCTATAACAGTCTAAGCAGCCTGTAGCCAGCTCCAGGAACACTCTAGACCTTGATGGAGTTCGTCCGAGTCGATCAATCATTCAAAGTATTCACCAGGGAGCTTCGGAACATCTTGGAACTCGCTGCCTAAGTATAAGGAGATCACAGATTGACACCGACGGATATCTGCGCGAAACGTCGATCGAAGAATCGTTCTTTACAAAAACCCTCAATCCTCTTCCAACAATCATTGTACAGTTCGTTGCTCAAATATTCCCGTGATTCATGCATGGCGGGGAATCGCTCCGTCGGATCGACCGCCGTAGGATCCTCACTCCGCTCCAAGACGGGATCTCGGCCCTAGCGAGTCCTAGAATCGACCGCTCTTGCCGGCCAGCCGGAAACGCGACGCCAGGGCGGGAAGGCTCGTACATGATGAACGGTACTATCGACCGGGCTCCGCTCACCAATCGTCTTGTGCAACGACTTGAGTTTCGTTATTAAATACTAGCCGGATCAGACGCTGGCCGAAGTGCGCGACCACGTACTGCGAATCATCTGCAGGACGCACTACCTGTAGCAGGGGAAATCGGTTAAGGATACGGGCTCCAGCGTGTCCCTTCGGAAGGCTCCTCCACGATTGCGGAAATATCGGATTTCAAGGTAGATCTCATTGATGACGAGTAGGGAAAATCCAGGATGATATCTTCGAATTTCACCTGCATTGCGATGAGAATGATATCGATGAGCTGCCACAGGAACATGCCGCCGAGGGTGCAGAACTTGGCCAAGGCCAACCCGGGATAGCCCAGGTAGAGTCGATCGACGCCGAACATGCCCAGGAACACGGAAAGTATGAGCGTTATTTCGAACGAGTACCCATTGGTCCATTCGCAAGGAACCTTAAACAGAAAAAATGATTTCAAGAAATGACACTATTCTGTCTTCGCTTTTAGATTCGAGGAGTCCAATTGTAAGATGCCCCATCCGCGAACCCCTGGGTCGGTCGGTATCGGATCAAAGCAATCTAGGGACTCACGGAACGTTTGAAGTGGGTTTTGTTCATCCCAGTGCCCTCACGGCAGTGGATATCTTTGGCCAAATAACATATCAGCTCAGCTGAATTGTTACGTGTGCAGCCAACAATCTGTAAAACGAGAAGAAAATCATAGAGATTCCAAGATTATTATTACTGTGACACATCTTATAGGATCTACCCTTGGGTCACTTGCGCATCGATCGAGGAGCGCAGGAGGATGATACCCATGTTCACCCAGGCAGATCGCCGATTCGTCCCGAGAGCTTCTCAGAAGTAATAGTACGGCATCCTCAACTTGATATCATAGCTATTCGAAACGTTGAAGGCCACCTCTCGAACTCGAAAGAGTATTTTCGAGATAAAAGGTATAGAATATCTCCTCCCCCTCATGGTACTCCTGATCAATGGACTCACCTGCTGAGTGGCTGCGTCGATTTTGGGCTCGGGACAGAAAAACTGACCCATGAGCACCTCTTGGCAATTGATTGTATGACCCCCTGCAGACTCCGGAAAGGATTGAAGCAAGAGCACGGCGGAGAAGCTGAGCACAAGGCTCGGCCCAGGAGCAATCATCATCGTTTCGGGCGCATCGCCCCTGTCGCCACGGTAGAAACTTTCTCGATCCAATGAGCGGCGAAACCTCCACCGAATATCGATGCGACAGCTTCACTACGAAATTTTTCAACAGGCTTTTATCACGACTAAGTGTCGCAGACCGAACACAAGAGCAATGAGCACCGTTTTTCCGGCGATCCTTTCTTATGTGCTTCTTCGATGGGATTACGGGAGAACGGGAACCCTTCTGAGCGAGCCAAACAATAATAAGAGGTTCTCTCTCTCACCCCTCAGTCTAGAGCAGACGAGTTGAGATCTTGCGTCGGGCGGGCAGCAGGCAAGATGACCTAGCCTCCTCCGCAGGGAGAACTCCTCCCGAGGAAACATTTCAGAACTTGAATGGAGAGAAATTCATCGAGACTGACCTCGGATCTGCTTTTCGTTAGGCTGGGTTTCCTTGTAATGCAAAGCTCCTGTTTGTTGCCAGCAAGGAGGGCGTGAACATTCTTCTGCCAGTCGCCTTCTTGTAGGCCTTCGGACTGGCTCCACGGACCCGGATTCTGTGGACGGACCATAACTCGCTCATATAACACCCTCTGAGCTCTCTCCACGTATGGTGGTATCGCTTGTTTTCAGGTTACACACGGAGGTGCGCTCTACTGCTCATCTTGGGGATCCCAAGCATTCAAGAATCTGACCGGGCCACTCAGGATGTGAAAGTTCCTTGGCTCGAGTTTTGACTGGAAACACTCGTTGCGACACTCTGTTGACCTCCTCGCGAGACCGATCTGCGACTTCTGCGTGGAGCCTCGAGGCGATTTTCGGATTTCCTAGTTTCGGATACTTTATAGGAAAAAATCACTTGTTTTTCTTCGGGCGAACATGACTTCCGACCATATATCTTGGTGGAGGTCTGTATTCCTTATCCATATCGTATATCGCTCAAGGCTAGGGTCGACCGTTTGAAACGTCGACAGCCGTCATTCGCGTCTTGGTCAGTTCAGCGGGTCGGTCAACTAGCGAGTCGCCGGAATGTCGCCTGGTTGTCCGATTTCCAATAGAAAGCTCAGCGGGGTGAATGTGTCCTGAGTACTGATGCGATCGTGCTTGTGACCGCACTGGCTGCGTGCCTCGGAATCGAGATTGCAATTTATTTTTCTCGTGATCATCGATCAGCAGCCACCAATCAGATGGCATCCGTCGCCTATTGACGCTGGTCAGCGTCGCCCTGAAGATTTGTGTAGCGGCGCAGCGTATTGTTCCTGAATGGCGTACCCGGGATCTGTCGGATCGTGAGGCTCATGGACGGGCCCGGATTGCTTCAATCCGTTGCCTTTTGCGCCTGGCGGTTCCACAGTGATATAGGCCCGAGTGTGACGTGGGGAACGGCACGCCTTCCCGCCTCTTCTTCGTTACGGGCTCCTGTTCATTCGGAAGGGGGGAAGACATGTTTTCCTTTCTCAACGACGTTGTCTGCTATAGTTTACCAACATGTTCATGTTTGACGACACACCAAGCAGCGGTGCCATCTTCCGTCTTCTGTCTCTCAGGTTCGTGTCGCAGGATCGCGAGCGAACGGCGGCATTGAATACCCCGCGGAATCCGTAGTGATTTTCCCTGGTTTCCACCTGTCGGCACGATTTTCGATGAGATAAAAAAGGGGTTGTTGTGCTGGCCGGTTGATGAATATCGGTCCCATCCAGGGATCGGAATCCTCCGGGGATTTTTGCATTGAAGATCAGTGACCGATTGCTGCTGAAACGGAAATCGGATTTCGCTTCCTAAGTCAATTCCATGCTCCGGTCGGGCACCAGAGCTGGCTCAGATCATATCTTAGAGCTCTTGGAGCTCTGCAAGGATATCACTACACGGATATTAGGGCAGCTAATTCGAAACTGTCAGCGCGGGGTCGCGCAGTTCTCTGGGCCTCATGAGTGAGATACAAATCCTTGTGGCTCAGCTTCTTTTCCCCGCTATTCCCTACAGCACGCTGGAACGCTCCGATTGAACATGACCCATCCCGGCATCGATAACCGCAATCAGCGCTGCTGAGGCGCGCGACTCATCGACTTCGAGCCCGATGATTGTTCTCGTCAAGCAGCTTCGGAACCATCATTCCCCGAGAAATCGAACCGGGTGATCGAAGCTTTGCCGAGCTGCTGCGAGTTTGTTAGCTGTGCCATAGTGAGGAGGGATCCGGGCTGCTTGCCGAGCAGAAGAGCTTCGAGTTCGATTCGTCCAGATCTTTAGAGACCCAGGTCAGGAAAGCATCCGACAAGCATGGTCGAGCAGTTGCCCACTGCTCTGGTCGTTGTCTTGGCGGTCGCTTTCGCTGTGTTCCAAGCGCAGCCCGCACCTCCTCAATCTCCGCTCCTCTATCAGTGGGAAACTGACTACGCTCATTGGACGGTTTACGAGAAGTACAGAATTTTTTTCAAAGGTAGGTCCTGAGTTCGCATCCCGAGGCGAGTTTCATCACCTAGTACTACCTCATGAAAAGCTGAATCCATTCCTATTTGCAGATGTACAGGGTCTGGTCAACAATAGTCGCACTCTCGTCGTCCTCCACGGGTTTCCTACATCGAGTTTCGACTTCCATATGGTGAGGAGCGAGCCTGTATTGCGTTTCCGAGATATTCTCACTCTTCGCGATCGGAAATTTGGTGCCGTGTCTGCAATCAATTGTCGCGCAGACAATCGACTCATCCGGATTCCGCGAATAGAAGGAGGGAGAGTACTCCAAGGGGTCGGAGTTCCCATTTCAACCCTCAGCGAGTTCGGAATCTTATTAGAAATGATCTTTCTCAATGGCTCAAGATTCAAGATCTAATCTTTCAGCTCCTAAAACCGCTCCGGAATGCGTTCAGTCGGGTCGTATTCATCGATTTCTTGGGCCATGGATTCAGCGATAAGCCTGTAACTATTGCGCCGAGAAAACTTACGACTGATTCTTGACCCAGGATAATTCCCTGAAATGCCCGAAGATTGGTTCGGCGAGAGAAGATATCGCAAGGATGATGGTCTTTTCAGAGAAATCATCAATACTCTTTGATCGAGCAAACGAAAATTGTCGAGTTCGTTCTACAAGAGATTGGAGTTTCGGAGTTGCACATCCTTGCGCACGACTACGGGGGCAGCGTGGCGATGGAATTACTCAAGAAGCAGTAGGTTCACCTCAGGCTTACCCGGCTCATCTGAGCTCGCACCCGCGATGTCCTTCTCCCTCATGCCCTTTTCCGACCGTCCGGGTGCGGGAAGCGTGCCTCGAGTTTCCAGTCCGTCACGACTGGACCGTATCAGGAGCTTAACGTATCTCTATGTCTTCCACAGCCGGGATACTTCCAAGATCGCAAGCTTGACAATCGAGTCTCTTGCGATCATCAATCCAAGTCTTTTCTCTGAATTATATCGCCAAACGTGGTTCATGTATCTGCTCCGCCTGCCGATCATTGGTCCGATAGCAGCTCGACTGGCCAATCGAGTCTCGTACGCGCAAGAGCTTGATCAGGTGAAATACTGATGACAGATGTTCGAATTTTGACCCGATTCGCCTCTTTACATCCGAGTTAAGAGATTCATTCTCCTTGCAGATATTCGGGAGCCGAAAAATAGACGAGTTCACGCTCAAGCAACTGTGGTATTTCGCGCGCCACAGAGACGAATACCGTGCATGGCCGAGGTGATTAGAGCAAAACATCTAACGATTTGACCCTCGACATTCTGCTTCTTGTCTGTAAGGACAAGGCCGATTCCCCATGGAATCATCCAAGAGCTCAATTTCCGTTGATATTTCCAGTCTTCTCTCATATCTGGATGAGAGACCGCTTTTGGAGAAAGAGTGGCTGCAGACGCTGAAGCAGGCGAGCATCCCCATGGCTTTCTTCCACGGTCCTGCATCTCCGATTCTACCGTACGACGAGCTAAGTCGGCTCTACAGTACGCATGTGCCGTCCATCACCGTGGAGAAATTCGCCGACGATATCGGTCATTATCCTCAGTTTGAAGACCCTGAGGAACTTTTCGAGAGATATGTGCTCTTCCTCAGAGGCAAGGCCAAGCTCGATGTCGCGCTGGAGGAAACAGTCGTCCTGATGACTCCTCAGAATGCAGACCCGGCAGTCAAATCCATCTGAGCTCCAAGTCACTGACGCTCCCCTCCCGAGAAGCACCGCCAAAGCTCGGAAGGAATCGAAATCTCGAATCGCCGGGTTCCAGCCTTCGATTGGATGCGACCCGGCTCGTCCTCACGGTGCATCAGCTGGCGAGCTGCAGGGACGGACTCACGACTCCTTTCTCAATGACTCAGACAATCTTACGTGTAGTGTTACAGATCCGTTGAGAGTGACGATGAATGCCGATTAGTTTCTAATGCGTTAGCGAAAGAACGCCATGGTCATGAGCCCGGGTATACCTGCGTTTATGATCATATATCAAAAGAATGGCCGCACCGCGGGCGGAAAGGCTCAATACGAATTTCATAAGAGTTTTCGGGGAGTTCTTCATTCCGCGACCGAAACATGATTCCCAAGGAATAAATCATTCCATCATCCTGAGATGAGAGCTTTTGCTTTGCCCAGAATATCCGAATTATTTCGTCCCCCGCGGCCTTCGAGTCGGTAGCGAGTCTTCGGCCTCAAGCATCCGCGAGGGTATGCAGGAATCCGGGACACCGCGCCGCCTCGTTCGTGAATCCCAAGCACCTAATCACAGGATGCCGACCGAGGGAATTCGCGCGATTTGCAGGATGAACAGCCCTTCGTGAATCGTGAAGCCCAGTCTCCGGTCCTGTTTGGATTTAGTCGCGCTCTCCCTCGCATTGATGTTTGAAAAAGCCCGCGCAAACCGTCGGAAATCAGAACCGACGCCATCTTGAACGCCATAGTTGTTCGTAACTAACGAATATCGAACTAAAAGCGACAAAAAACTCGAGCAATGGCGGACGCAGCAGGAGCGTCTTCGAAACCTGAGGAAGAAGAACGACAGGGGAATGTCGCTGAAGGTACTGTGCTTCGCCTCTGCTTGGCTTTGGCGCTTACTACGATAGATGATAGAATGATCTGCGGGTCTCGCAGACACAAAACACATAACTGTAAGAGATGATTTTTCCTCTACGATCATGATCACAATCAGCTTGCATTCGAGCAGCCACAAATCATTGTGAGACTTTTGTCTTCAATGAGGCGGGAATCACGTACTTGTCGATGGGAGTTGCTTCAGTTCTTCTCTACCGATATGGGAGACTTGACGCCCTTTAAGATTACGCTATCGCAAGCTCTCGGTTTCCTCATCGGATCCTCATCACTGATTGCTTGTGAAAACCTTCGGGGCTATGATCGAATTTGCTCGTCGAACTTTTTCCTTCCCGTCGAGTGAAGCTGGAGGAGTAGACTGGGGACCCCCTCTGAATGGCTGAGTAGAGCCGGAGGCTGTATGCCCGTTCCAGGGACTGGGAGTTCGTCTAATTTGCTTGCTCGGAGCGGGACCTCCACCGAAATTCCGCGCCTGGTGTGAGAGGCTGATCAGGTGCATATAGGACCTATGGAGTCACGACGTTCCGATTCGAGAGTCTTGAAATGCCATATCTGATCGTCCATGTCGTATGATATACGAACGAATTGTTTTGAATCGGAAATCTCCCCTTGCTTGAAAGTTAGTTCTAAGAGCGCCAAAGCTCCGAGCGATCTGGGGGCTCGATTGAGTCGAAGAGGTGGGATCCATCCGAATAACTCCCACTGGAATTTCAAATCTCATGGGAAAAATCTTCCACAGCTGAGATCGGCTTCGAACATCTCGAGGAAGTGGCGGATGATGAAGAGTGGCAACCGGGCGAAGACGAGGAGGATGAAGACGGAGAAGAGGAACAAGAAGATGACGAGGAAGGGGAGGAAGATGAGGCCGCTTCCGAAGCGATCGCCCCGGAAGAGTAAGGCAGACTGAGGCTGCTATCATATGGAAAAAAGTGGCTGTGTTTCCCCTCAGATTGATTTGTCTCGAAGAGCGCTCACCGACGACAACTTCTTCTGTTTCAGGCATGTTTCGGGCGAAACTACAATGGTCATCGTGGAGACAGAAACATTGGATGCGGGAACAGCCGCGGTCGAGCCTCAGGAAGTCGAATGTTCCGTCTGTAAAGTAGTAAGTCCCTGTTTTTTTAGCGGACGCCGCGTCTTGCACCGTTCCGGTACTGGTTCCGAAAAACTCAAAGATCGTTCCCGTTCTCCCGCAGATTCTGGGCTCTAAAAACGCTCTGGGCGCACACATGCGAAAGGCTCACCAACGTGGAGATCCCTCCCGGAGGAACCACATATGCTCATTTTGCAACAAGGCCTTCACAACTTCTTCGAATCTGCAACAGCACAAGCGTCTCCATTTCAATGAGAGGCCCTTCCAATGCAATCGCTGTAACAAAGGCTTCGCAACCAGCACGAATCTGAAACAACATTATAGAACGCATACCGGTGAGACATGCAATCCATATACGGAGCCTGTGATGCACTTTATCACCCAGTTCAAATTCGTTTCCCAATCATCCGCCGGTCACCCGCAAGTCTCATGCTACTTACCTTTCCAGGAGATCGTCCGTTCCCTTGCAATTACTGCTCCAAGCGCTTCGCTACGAACTCGAATCTTCGCCAACACATAAGAACTCACACAGGTGAGCGACCTCATGTCTGCAGAACATGCGGGAAAGGCTTCATAGACGGAGCGAAACTGTCGAATCATGAACGAGTACATACGAAAGACAAACCATTCACGTGCATCGTCTGCGAGAAAATGTTCGCAACTAGTAACAATCTCAAAGCGCACGCGAGAACGCATGCGGTCGGTTGGGGGGACTCGTCTACTCGGAGAAAGAAGACTAGCAATATTCCCGAGACGAGCGAATCGTCCAAACCACTTAGAAATGTTGTGCTGGTGAAACTTCGGTCAATCGAGCAGGAGGAGCTCATGCTGAAGAGCGGCCCAGTGACCTGAAGACATTCCGGTAGCTATATTTGACGAATATTGACAGAGGTTTGCGGGAGTCGTTTTACTTTCGTCGCTCGCCTCGTTTTAAAACTCCTTGTGAGCGGATCTCCGCCGCGGACGGAAATTTCCCGAGACTCGCCTGCTCCCCCCAACCAGGCGATCTACTCTTGTGTTCTGAGCGAGGAGTTTCCTGCCGACCTACTCATTGTTGCCTCCTCGCTCCCATGAGATGTCGATATTTTGGAAGAATAAAAGTGCTGTCTAAGATGCGTTGGAGTGAACAGAAACCCTGAGTCATTATTCAGGATCGATCTAAGAACGTATAGAGTGTATCGAAAACGAGCTCCGGTCGTCGGAGAAGCACATCTTGTAGGCGTCATCGATTCTTCGGCCATACAATCCACTCCCGCAGCTTAGAGTCTCTTCTCTCGATGTCGATCAGGACCCTCCTAATTGTGATGAACGTTTTTCAGCCGACATTATCGCCGATTCAACGATCCAAGCTTCCGTGAAAAGCAATGCGGACGGATCTGAAACCTGGGAAGTGGAAGGCGGCAATGTGAATCTATCACTCATCCCGCCCATCTGTCTGCAACAATATATCTGCAATGACTGCAACAAGGTAAGTCGAAGCCGACGAGGAGATATCGCAAAGCAACCGAGGGCCGGAATGAAGGCTCCATACCGTTCCGCTCCTCTGATTGAATCTGATTAATTGACGACGCTTCCGGCACCAGGATAATGTCAACGACATCGATCATTTCGGTTACAGGTGTACTCTAATTCATCAAACCTCGCGCAGCATCGAAGAACGATCCATCCGAGAGATTTCGTGAGAAGATATCTATGTGAATACTGCGAAAAAACTTTTTCTCTCGTGACAAATCTCAGGCGGCATCAGAAGAAAACTTGTCCCAACGCGAAGAGAAACGATTCAGGCGGAGAGGTAAACTCTGATGCGGTTCGGAAGAATCGTTGAAACATATCGCTCGGCGGGGCTGTTGCTAATCCAGAAATTTTGCAGGCGGCTCGACAGACGTGGCCATGCGAAGACTGTGGAAAAATTTGTTCTACAAAAGGAAATCTCAAAAGCCACAAGTTCACCCATCTCGGCATAAAGATGTACGAATGTTTCATCTGCGAGAAGAAGTTCACAACGAATTCAAACCTGAAACAGCATCTCATAGTTCACGACGGGAAATACAATGGTAAAGGCAGGTTTTGGTCGTTAAGGGCAAACTAGTTTCCCGGGGCCATAGAGCCGGTCATTCCTGTCTGACTGAGTATATGTTCTAAGCGAGGATTTTTCTCTCGTCGCGTAGGATTACAGCCAAAACGCAAGAAGATCACCCTTCAAATACGTGACGAGAAAGCCAACGACACCGTTGAACCTGATCCCAACGAGACTTCGGCAGCTGTCAGAACTCTGCAGGTCGTTTCGGACGGGTCCACACCTTCAAAAGAAGAGTATATCGCTGTTACAGAGCCGCCGGCAGTACCCAAAGGCAGGACCCAGAAGCCGCTCATTGTCAAACTAGACGTTGACCGCGATGTCAAGCCACGGCGCAATCCGGTATCCACGAAACCGATTCTCTTACCTCCGCCCCCACTCAGACTATCCTGAGTTTTCTGATGTTACCCTGCGACACGAGTTCTGAATAAACGGAAATGAAAACGTACTTGACCGTCTTCGAGTTTCGCAGCGCTCATCCTTCCCTTGGACGTTATCGCAACACCCAAGACGCATTTTCATGAGAGCGGGTGAGCCTGTGAAGGCGATGCTGATGTCGCCCCACTGCGACAATATTGTACGCGCGGAATTGAATAAGGTCCCTACGCCTCTGCTCCCGAGCTGGGATCACCTCATCTCACTAGACTCCGAATAGAGTCAAGCGGACGCAAGCATATGGACGGGGCTAAATGGCTGCAGCCCATGACCCTCATGTCGAGGGTCCAGCATCTCTGGCTGCTCCTCTGATTCGGTCGGGCTGGTAAACGCTTCAGCGATGCTTTCCTCGGAGCCTATTCCATTTCCTCTCCATGATTCGACCATCTTGAGCAATGTCACTTTCGGGGTCAGGCTCATGGCTCTTGGCGACTCGATTGCAAGAGCTTTGCGGTCGTCGCCGACCGGGATCTGAGAAAATTTCCGCTGTCGCTCTACCTTTTCGAGACTCGAAAGCGTCCGAGGCATGACGCTTGCCACGCCGTTCCCATCACTGAGAATAGATCCGAGAAGAATCTCTCCCGGGCGATTTGGACGGGAAGCACTCGGCTCGATCTCCCAAAATTAATTTCTGAGTGTTGTAGCAGCACTGCCACAAGTGCCGTTCGGAGCCTACGGAGATTTTCAGATTTCTATGGGAAAAATTTGTTCGCGGCTCTCTCTCGGATCTCGTCACTGAATCTGACGAAGCCGGGAGAACAGGCCCTATTGTGAATACTACTCCGGAATCGACGTCTCTTCAATTGCTTCCGCTACGGCTCACAAGATCCCATTGGGGATAATGTGTTTTATAGGAGAATCTCAGGTGTGTGCTCTAGCCTGACGAGTCGATGTATTTACCCATTGACATACAATGAAGGCAGCGCTTGTCGAACACTACAGCGCCCCCTATTCCAGGGTGATCGTTTGCGAGTAAGTAAGCGAGCGAGTGAGTGAGTGAGTCGCTCGAGCTTCCCTTTCCTCGCTCAAGCGTCCTCACCGTTGTCCTCTCACAGCACCCGAGTCCGTTTTCACCCGAGCCGGTCCAAGCGGTCGGGTGTCATAGGGCGAGTGACGAGGTACCGCCAGGCAGGCAGTGAACCTTCCAGTCAGTCAGTCAGCTAGCCAGCCAGCCAGCCTGAGGGCCTGTCGGTGTGTCGGTGAGCTAGCCGTTCCGCTCGCGTGCAGGCCCGCCGGCCAACCAACCCACCAACCAGTCGCTTGGTCAGTCAACCCACCAGGTAGTCCAATCAATCGGTTGGTCGGCCCCCTAATCGCTTCTATCAATCGGTAGACCGGTCGGCGAAACCGTCAGTTCGTCCGTCTGCCCGTCAGTCAGTCAGACTCTGGGTCACATGGTTGTTCCGTAAGTCGGGCCGAAAGGGAAAAAGAAGCAAGCTAGACGAACGGGCAGCCGGTTGCTCGCTAAGGATCACTCATCGGCTTCCAGTGCACTGTAGGTGTGTTATCAGTGAATATCGTCTCGACCGTCGATCGACTCGCGAATCGGGATACCGACCGGACGATGTGCACGAACTGGTCTTATCAGCAACCTCGAAATGAGAAGCTTGCCCTCCGCATCTTCCTCGTAAGTGCTTGTCTTGTGGTCACAGGGTTGCCGAAAAGCCCTCCTTTCGAAATACTTACGCCTGTCGTCAATCTCGGTCTCTGAATCTGGAAGCACATGTCAGACTCGGGGTCTGATGCCGAATCAGAATTTTCGATCCCATCGAGCGTCTCCACCATCCTTGTATTCTTTGAAAAAACGATCATTGTGACGAACAATCGTGGTTGATTTCGAGCGGTGTCAATCAAAATAGGGAAGGAAGGCGATAGTAAAGAAATAACAGAGTAGTAGGTGCTGCCACTCCTCTCGACTTACCGATCCGCTCCAAGAGGTGTCGTGGGGCGAGAGTCGGGATCCGAGAGGAGATTCATGAGGGTCACTACATCTGTTCAGTACTAAAACGGAGATCCGAGGTCCCGCACCTTTGAGTAGCCCAGATCGAGGTTTACCTCTTCGCAGAGGAGTCGATCGAAGGCGCCAGATATCGGCTGCGATTCATTATATGGCAGATACATCGGGCATCGACGAGCTCGGGTACTTCCCGGCATTGTCCCCGTCGACTTTTAGGAGAATTCATCGAAACTCCGAGTTCGCTCCCGTGCTGGAGAGTCAGATACGATGCCGGCGTCCTCTATTCCAACCCCAGCAATCTTCCCGAAAACCATGACGATTCATCGCGCGTTGTATCGATTACCCCTTCATTCATGCAGGCGCTCATCGAGTGAGGAGTTAAAAAATCATGGATTTCCTTCACCCCTTATCCCCGATGCTTTTGTTGATCGGGAAATCCTTAGAACTTTTAGAACATGCAAGAGAAAAATTTTGCAGCATCTTGCGCAAGTATCGATCCACAGCGGCCCGACCAAACTCCACAGAGGAATATGCAGGGAAAATACAAAAAGACACGCCATAGGCTCACGGAAATCGAAACATCCATCTAAAAGCGGTCTCCATTAGAGGGCCCCTCGAACCCGAATAATCCATCCCCCCCCCCCCCTCCATTCCCCCATCTAAGTCTAGTGGCTCGGAGCAATGGCGGGAACTCGTCTCGCATATTCACCTGGGCATTCCGCAAGGCAGACATAGTTTCCCGCTTGCTCATGATGAGTATCCGAACATCGAGTAATCTCGACGGTGCCTCGAATTCCTCACGTACAATAGAAGACTCTAGATCCACCGAAATTAAAAACACGATTTCATAACCGGCGGATCGATTCCAGGCTTGCATGACGACTCCGAGAAGTGCTGCTCCTCACTCCTCATAGCCGTCGCTCGGTCGGTCGTTGTTCCTAATGACGGTATAATGAAGTACCCACTTGGTCAAACAAGGATCGATTTTAGATTCGCCCGCCCCCGTCTCTTACCGCTCTTTGCGATTCACCGATATTGAACCGCGGGGTTCGTCTCAGTGAGTCGAGGGGAAAACTTCGATGGAGAAATGAACCGACGACGGAAAGTCTCGAACTGCCTTGCCGTATCTCACTCTCTCAGTCGAGAGTGCATTATTTTGAACCGCGTTCACTAGGTAACAGGACTGGCAGTGTTATCGGGTCGGAGCTACCTGTCATAGGAAGATACCGAATCAGCCACCTCACGTCGAAGCAGAATACGGGGGAAATATTAAAATCGGTTGGAGAGTCGGCCGATGTATCATTTCTCGGAAAATGACCCTTCTTCGGCCCGCCGCTCTCCCGTGATAGGCGGTCGTTCTGGTTCTGGTGTTAGGCGCAAGAATAGATTCGCGTTCCTTGGGTCTCACCACTGGCTCGACTCCTGACCGTGCCGATTTCGTGAAGATGACAGCCGCCACCTGCAAGTCCTCATTCGCCCCGGATGATCGTAACCCGATCAGCCTCGAGTCGCTGAGCTCTACAGGAAGGCTTCATCTATGATCGATGATTTCACGATTGATATGCTCCAGGGTGAGGGTCGATTACGACTGCACCGCGGAACTTGACAATAATCGCTGGCGTCGCTGCTCATGAGCGGCATTCAATTTTTTGAGCGATAAGAGGCACTTTTGTAGAGCTCTGGCAGACTGATGTGCTGGAATGTGCAACACCATGTCAGCTGATGCTTTCGCTACATCGGTCCTAAAGGCTTTTTTTTTGTCGATGGGCCCGAGTGCCTTCGCGGATTTGTCAATGAAGTCCGGCACGCGAGCTACGGAACCGATCGGCATGGATTCTCCGGCCACCGCGCGATTGTATATGAGTCCACGGTCTCTGAGGACCCCCATCGCTATTCCCCGAACCCCTGGGTTCCTGAATTCGCTGTACATATGATTGAGAGGTCTTTCGGAATCCCATGATCTTCGAAACATACATATATTCCTCGATATTCACGTCCGTTCCGACGATCGATCCCGTCGCCCGACGGTTCTCGGTCTACCGAAGATCAATTTATCGAGCACAAGAACTGAATTATTAAGAAGTCGTAGCCAGAAAGACCCCTGTCTCCGGACAGGATTGCCAGACTCAGATCGGGGCGACCATCATCGGAGCCTTCCGGGACCCTCAGTATGATTTGCTAAAGGGAGTAATTCTGTCCGTGGATGGAAATCCCTCTCCCCATTGACCTTGGCCGTTGGTGGCCCCGACCGCAGTCGATTTTCTCGCGTCCATTGAACTGCTTGACTGACATAAGCCTGGGAGAAGTTGGACTTCATATAGTGAGTTGATTCGGACTAGGCAGGTCCAATGGCTCTTCTGTGGTCGATTGCAATCGCATCGATCGATACATCTTTATTCAGGAAGTCGCCTTCGAACCACGTTCAGCTCTTTATCATTGTTGACCGGAAAGGCTTCGAGTACAGGGGAAGCTCGAAGTAACGGGAATGGAGGATCCGGATGATAACTGGCACGATTCCACCCTAATAGAGAGCTCGGCGAATGAACTTTCGGAGCCTCGTTTCTGCATGTCGGAGTTCCCATCTCTCTGAAGCGGAAAATTTCGCTGCACCTGGGAGGAGTCATTCGAAGCGAAATCGAGCTCGGATCGAAGTAAAGCATTCATCACAAATAGATACTATCGGGATGGATACTCCGGGCATCGATCTGCGAACTTAAGCCGGACTCTAAATCATCATTCACGGGGTCGCCGTGCGAGAAGCGAGCGGAAGAGTATTGTCGATTCTAACTCCATCTCGTGGGCAGAGAACTGGGCTGAATCGTTGCGTTGGTCGCTCATTCGGAGCACTCATCGATTATTCACCGGTTCGGGGTATGCCTCGTCGAAAGAGGGGGAAATCCTCAAAACTATGGACAGATGGAGAAGCCTGCAAGATGTGAATGCTCCTCCCAGAAGCGAAGTCGACCTGACGGACTTCACGCTTGGGCTATAATTGTGCGAGTATATAAAACGCAGCCTGGTAGATATGGGGCCGCAGAAACAGCGG